AAATCATCCTTGTTTCAGGTTTGAAATATATTTTGCGACTAACAGTTTTAACACATCGGAGAGAGTCCTAGAGAAGCTTAATCACCTTGTGTATGCCTTTACAAATATAGAATAAAACTCATTGAAAAATTGTCAAGACGACATTTGATACATTCCTCCGATGTATTCGTTATTAAGGGTATATAAATATGTTCGCGAAATGTTCGCATTTTCGCAAAATTTTGCTTTATTTATTTTGGCGCAAAATGTGAAATTTCGCGAAAAGTTTTGCGAAATGTGAACGGAACTTTTTCGCAATATTTTCGCGAAACGTTTCGTTCGCTGTAAACCCTACCTTGTATGTAAAATGAGTAAAACATGAACTGCAGATTTTTTTTACATTTCGAAGATATTAGGAGAAATTTTTTAAAACATAACACAAAAATTGAATAATGAGAGCGAGATTACTCTGAAATATACTCAAATATTAATGTCGTCTTCCTATTCCAATGTTTTCTGGTTATCACTGTTTGTAGAGTAGAAAAGGAATTATTTAACATCCGAATTTAATGAATTTGATCCGCGTCTCAATTTCGCCCAAAACCGTTTTCAATTGAGCGCCGGCTTAAATCTTGAAACATTGTATACAATTTTAAGTAGGATGCACCAACTATATTTGAGCCGCGTCTCAAATTTTTGACGCAGCTCAAACTCTTTGAATTCTGCCCCAGATGATATACAATTAAAATATGTAATTTCTTAATAAAAACGTTATAATTTCACAAACATTAAATATGGAAACAATTCCTATATCGTGAAGAACGAGCTATAATTTCTTTCAAATACGATAAATTTTATAGATTTAGGACATTTTTTTTGGTAGATGAGTCGGAAAATTTACTATCTCAACTTTTATAATTCATAGTAGTATGCAGTGTTGTGGGAAACTTCTTTCGGATTCATTTGAAACATATTAAACTTTTTAAAAATATGTAAATCCTGAGTTTGAGCGCAAATTCGACGTTCAAAACTTCTACTTTGGGGGTGGATATGTTTTCAGAATTAGTGTTTTTAATTAATCTGATAAAGTACGAAAAAATTTCTTGGAAAAAGTTCTATGTTCATGTTCATGTTCATATGTTTATGGTCCAAAAGTTCAAATTAATTTCATATCCATTGTAAACTTGATTTGTTACAATAAATCAATTCCCGCAATAAAATATACATTAAGAATATATCTGGGAAACCTGAAAACGTAAACCATAGTTAGACCTGAAATTAATATGTATACATACAAAATATGCATATATTTTCATTGCAAATAGCTTAAGAATTCGAATACAAGAAATCCCAAAGTAAAAATTACATTAAAAGAAAAATCTTTTCAATTTATAGAATTTTTATATTAAAATTTGTAAATTGCATTATTATCAATCATATTATTGATTTATAACTAAAAGTTTTTTTTCTAGAAAGATAGGTATTAAGGAAATGATATCTTTTCAGACCAATATCGCAGATCATAGATATTTCAAACTATGAATTATGCTGGATCATATAAATTAAGTTTGAAATATCACAGGCTTACACCATCAAGTTTTAAAGATATTGGGATTAGTAAATCTGTGTTTGTGGCAAAGACTCAAATCCTTTGTGGAAACTTTGTTTAAGGAATTAATTCTTTGACTAAACCAAATGACATACGGCATTTGTGAGAACAAAAATTGAATATCCTGAGAAGACAACATTTCATTAGAAAATTACCTTTTCTTGTTGCCTGTATTTTCCCCATATCTGGGGGTTTAACCTCGATTAGACTAATTAGACCTTTCCCGGATATAATCATTTCTGAAATATGTTTTAACGTTATACTTTCCAATTACAATGTTAAAAAGGGTTATGTACAATATCAGTTTCAACCCTGCTATTTAGTCAATAGAACGTTAAATGATGAAGTGTAGAAACAGAAAAAAAAGAATATATAAATTGCACTGATTCCACTGAAAGATAAGCACTTTAGTCTTACCACTTTTATGTATAGTTTTGTCAGACACAGAATTTGAGTTGACACTTATGACGTTGAAACAGCTGTACTAAACGTTTGAGCTATTTATATGTTCATTTGAGCTATTTTTTGTTCATTTTAACTATTATTTTGTAGATCCGACCTACAAAAATTGTACATCCGACCAACAAAAAGAGTATATCCAACCTACAAAGAGTTTACATCTGATCCCATACAAAGAGTATATCCGACCTACAAAGAGTGTATATCTGACCTACAAAAAGTGTGCATCCGGCCTACAAAAAGTGTATACCCTACTAACCCGAAAACCTAAAAATACCAAAGTCTCTATATAGGTATAGATATTAATTAACTTTTGGGTTAAGAACTTGCGTATATTTACGTATTTTTACGTATTTATCATACCATGCAATTTTTTAAATGCTTTGGTTTTCCAGAAACGTAATTATACGAAAAATTACCTACACTTTTTACCAAGTAATTTTTCTAAATTTTTAGGTTTTTATTTTACGTATTTTTAGGCATTTTTTTGGTTTTTTCTTTACTGAAAAAATTGTATTCTTTTTCGAGTTAAAAAGTTTGGAGCAAACCTAAAAATACATATATTTTCGTAAATTTCATACCAATAAAGTTTTCAAAGTTTTTAGGTTTTTATTTTACGTATTTTTACTTATTTTCTAGGTTTTTTCTTTACTTAAAAAATTGTATTTCTGTAAGAGTTTAAAAGTTTGATGCAGACCTAAAAATACGTATTTTTTCGGAAATTTCATACCAAGAAATGTTTCAAAGGTTTTAGGTTTTTACTTTACGTATTTTTACGTATTTTTGGGGGTTTTATTTACTTTAAAAGTTGTATTTTTTAAGAGTTTAAAAGTTTGATGGAAACCTAAAAATGCATATATTTTCGTTTTTCAAAGGTTTTAGGTTTTTACTTTACGTATTTTTACGTATTTTTGGGGGTTTTCTTTACTTAAAAAGTTGTATTTTTTTAAGAGTTTGATGCAAACCTAAAAATACGTATTTTTATGTATTTTTCTAGGCCTTTTCTTTACTTAATGCAAAATTGTAGTCCACTTCTTAACATTTTGTTAGAACTTGAAAAATATGTATTTTTACGTATAGGTAAAACCTAAAAATTCCAAAAATTAAGAAATGTTAGGATTTTTTCAAACCTTAATCTACGTATAGGAAAAACTAAATATTCCTGATTCATTGGATTTTTAAGGTTTTTTACATACGCATTTTTACGTTATTCATATATGTATTTTTACAGATATTAAATATATATTTTTACGTTAAGGGAAAACCTAAAAATTCCTGATTCATTGGATTTTTAGGTTTTTTACATACGCATTTTTACGTTTGTCCAATACGTATTTTTATCAAAGAAATGGTTACGAAAATACGTATGTCATATGTATGGAAAATACGTATTTTTACGTATTCCTAAACCTAAAAATATGTATATATACATGTGTCATACGTATTTTTAAGTTTTCGGGTTAATAGGGTAATTGATATCTTTTAAAATTTATTTTTTACAATGTTGTCGACACTTTCAAGTGATTTTATACGTATATAAATAAAAATGATAGTTTAAATGAGAAATTTAAAAATTCATGGGGGTAAACTCTCCCCTAATTTATGAACGAAATTGTTCATGTCTAGGGCAATATTGAAAGCACAAAAAATGCAGACCACATTCTGTAAATGGCAGGACTAGGGGAATTTTGTGATTATTATCTCTAGAAATTTACTTCTAAAATTAGGTTGACAAATAATTGCAGCAAATTATATAAAAAATCAAGACGATATTCAAGTCGTCTTGCATACTTTCATGTTTCGTGGGAAACCATGTACCTTCTATTTATCTGACATAAAGCTAATGTAAAAAATAAGGCATTTTATACATACATGGACTGCCCCCTGCAGCTGAAACTGCCCTTGATTACAAAGCAAAAATTTATACACCATTTTATGATTTTACAAAAAGAAATTTTCACAGATAATTTATCTAAAATTTACAAAATCAAATTACACAAAGTTAATTACAATTAAATGATGCTCTATAATTCATTACATAAACGTAATAATTAAGTTTTGCATAACTTTGAACAAATCTTTATATATGTGTGAAATATGTCAATTTAGTTACATTTTTTCATTTTTGTACTTTTTTATATAGAACAAGTTCAAAATCTACATTTTCTTTAGTTCCACATCTAAATTTTTTTCTCGTTCTCAACCCGTATCCGCGACAAATATTTCTGTATGAATCCGAAACCGCCATATTTGTATGTGTCCACCTTCCGAAGCCTAGAACCCAAACCTGTGACTAGGCTTGGCTAGGATCAATACAGTGTAAGCAGCTAAAGCGGAAGGTTACCAGATCATATGAGAACCAAGTTTAAACTTAATTACTGTTTACTGCAGACAAGAGTTCCGTAATATAATATTGTTCTCATTCAACAAGTGTCACATCTACGTGAATCTCTGAATTACAGGATAACCTGCGTTTTAACCAAAATTATTTATCCATGTTTTTAATTGTTAAATTTGAAATTAAATCTCACCAAAACACTTCAAAACATGATGAATGTAACCTAACTAAAATCAAATCTTAATTATTAGATAAATGATACATGATCTGCAACTTTTTTTATATATAAATATTTTCTAGTTAGATCAGCGTTTTATAAAATCAAAAAAATATTTCCAAAATTCTCTTTTGCATGTCTAATTTCTAAGCATACAGCAATGGAGTCCGACTCCGTCCTAGTATGGGGACCCCTCGGGTCTGTCCTAGTAGAGGTCATTAGAGGTCATTAGAGGTCATTAAAGTTCAATTTTATTTTATTATAGGAATTTCGAACCCTAATTAGGCGCGCACCCAAAAAATTGGAAGATTTGAACCAAAAATGAAGGCAGGGCCCCCCCCCCCCTACATCAAATGTGCCAACTCCACCATCCCCTTTGAAAAACTTTTTAATTTCAGTCTATTAAATATAATGCCTGTGACGAAGGCAGAGGCCCACAGGGCCTTGGAACTGCTGGAGGATTATTACACCAGGTAAATATAACTGTCCCTTCCCTTTAAAAGGTGAAATTATCAACTACCTCCTTAGAATACGATACCTCTGTTTTGTGAAATATCCATTTAAATTGATGAATTGTCCTTAGAAAGTGATTTTTGAACACCCCCCCCCCCTGCCCTCTCCCCCTTCATAAAAAATTATCATTTCTTGTTAATGTTCATGTCCAAGCCGCGGCACTTGGCCATATCGCCTGTCCAAACCTTAGCGCTCGGACCAGAATTTATGTTCAGCTAAACCTGAAATAATACAAACTAAATACGAGGAGGGGATTTTGGTTGAAAAATCTTTCTATAGGACTGAGGCGATAAGTTTGTTTTTTAATGGAGTAAAATAAAATTCTGGAATTCTACATTTTAACAACATTTTTAAGCTACATGCATATGTTGGTAAAAGCTGAAAAAAATCTTATCCTAGTTACTTTTTCATAGAACATCACCAAGATTCATAAAATATTACTAGTTCTTCAATAAAAATCTTGTTATTTAAAATGTTAATTAAACCATGAATAAAATTCTGGACGAATTTGCAAATATCCTATATTTATCACTGATTTTGATGTCTGAAAAGTCCCTTTATACATTACAAGTTTTAATAAGTAATCAGAACTTAATAATTTAGTCTTGGTTTCGTGAACTACTTTTTTAATTATTCTTCTTTCTGCCATTGTATTTTAATTCTTTTATTTTTTCCCATTTACTTCTTGAATGTAGTAATATGTCTCTATGATTGTTTAAATCCAACTTTTTTTTTTATTTCCTTTTGTTGTGTATTTAAATATTTTTTCTTTTGTAAACGAACTTCAATTGAATTGAAGGTTGTCTGAGGAAGATGAAAAGCAGCTGAGAGCAGCGATAGAACGAGTTATTCGAATATTTAAATCAAGATTATTTCAGGTATTTAGTTTTTTATGTACAGCTGTATTTAAAACTATGTCTATTTTATGTCTAAAAAAAAATATTGATAACTGCCTTACCCTATTTAAAAACTATGTCTATTTTATGACTCAACAAAAATATTAATAACTTACCCCAATACCCCATTTTTGAAACTCTCAGATTCCTTGTTTATACCAATTTATAATCTGTCATCTTTTTTTATAAGTTAAATGGACAGACCGGCTATGTAGGGTAGTTAAATTGAGTATGCAGTGTTGTGCACAAATTCTTAGGATTCATTTGAGACATATCAAACTTTTCCACGATTTATAATTACTGTGTTTGAGTCCATACTCGACGTTCAAAATCATGAATTTGGGTCCGGGATCGTTTTATGAATCGATTTTTTTATATTATTAAATAACGACGACGAAAAATAAAGTAAAGATAATACAGTAAACTAATTAGATGGTTAGGAACATGTTTCTCAAAAGAAATTTGTCAATAAATCAATGCTAGAATTAATTATTTCGTTTTTATCATTACATTGAATTTCTTATTTTCTATGAATTTATTCACAGATTTCTACAAATTCTTTAAATGTCGCCTTTTCAATAATAATTCCAGAAAATCAGCAGAAAATCTTTGTGAATAATGAGAAACTAGAATAATTGGAAAATAGAAACTAGTAATTGAACAAGATTACTTATTTTTGATGATAAGATCAATTTTTATTTTCTCAACCTGTTCCTAAACAACTAATTAGTTTACTGTAGAATTTTGTTTACATTTTTTGTTCTTCGTTATTTAATTACAAAAATAAAAACAATTCTGAAAACGTTTCCACCCAATAGTAAGATTTTGAACGTCGACTTTGCGCCCAAAATGTTTTATGTGTCTCAAATGAATCCTTAAGAATTTGTCCACAACACTGCATACTCAGTTTAACTACCTTACAATTACATCGCCGGTCTGTCTCTTTAAAAAGATTTTTCTAAAGAGTGAGCTTCATATTTAGCCTTGTTTATGATATCTGATTTCATCTAACAGGTCTTGAAGATTTTTACCTCCCCAGTATAGTATTGAAGTTTGAACCTATTTTGAAGCAGTTTGTATATATTAGAAGAGGCTTACTGCATAGTTGCTTCAGTGCGTAGTTTGCTGACTTGTATATAAATCAATTTTAGTTATTATTAGAAAATTAACCGAATCAAAAAATTTTGAACAAAGTAAAATAATTTTCTTAGAAAACATAAAAGGGGGGCGAGAATTATCAATGAAAATGATTTTGCATTATTAAGTGTATTAAATGTAATGAATAGTTTCATATGTTGAATAAGCATACTATTTTGTAGGCGTTAAATTTTTTTATGTCGACCTAAGAATTTAAAGAATTGAAAATTGACTAAGAAATTGTATATGACTTTAAAAAAAATTTAGAATACTTACAATGAGCGATTAATTAAAAAAAAATGCGATGTTGAATAGTAAATACTATAAGCAGTTGTCAGTATTAGAGGATTATTATCGTTTAATGCATCGCAATAAATTACGAAAAAATTATTCTTTCTAATAATGTGAGTTGTCAATTTGAAAGATGAAAAACTTCCCTTTTGAAAAATAATATTTCCTTCCTATATTGAAAAAGATCAAATTACATTGGGAATTTGTTCACCGGATAGAAAAGAAAACAATGTTGATTTCAATAGAATTGAATGAAATCTAAGAATGATTCAAAGATTTGATTTAGTCTTATCAGAATGCTAATGTCTTAATAGAAAATNAACCCCCCCTACTTTCTGCCTAATCCCAGCAAAAAATGTTAATTTATATGATCTAAATATTTAGTCTTTGCTGGATATCCAAGAATTCTACGAACTAACCCTCATGGATGAATCAAAGTCGATCAATACAAAAACTTCTGAAGCTTTGCAAATGGCGTCACGGTGGGAGGTGGCTGGGCCCCCCGGTCAATCTAAAGGTCTTGAACTGGGTCAGGACATCTCTCTTCCAGATCAACAACGCGACGAAATGCTGCGTCAATTGGCTCATATTGCAAACGAAGCAGTTCCTGCGTCACGGAGTTTATCAAGACGTGAACCTGTTCTTGCGCCGCTACCTGTATCCGCCCCCGTTCCTGTTCCTCCCCCTGCCAGTGTTCCAAGATCAGTATCTGCTGCTGGGATAGAAAACTGGGAGTACGACGATATAAGTTTGGAACGTGGTGGGGCCGGGCTTGGATTTTCCATCGCCGGTGGAACCGATAACCCTCATGTTCCGAACGACAATTCTATATTCATAACTAAAATTATTGATGGGGGTGCTGCAGCTCACGACGGCCGCCTCAGAGTCAACGATATCATTACCCATGTCAACGGCGTGTGCGTCATCGAGGTTCCCCATACAGCGGCGGTTGACGCCCTAAAAAGGGCAGGAAACAGTGTTCACCTAACCGTGAAAAGAAAAAGGCAGACCAACGGGACCAGTGGGGATTTTATAAATGTAGAACTTATGAAAGGTTCCAAAGGACTGGGATTCACCATTGCGGGAGGAATTAACAATCAGCATATTCCCGGGGACAACGGCATTTATGTGACCAAGGTTATGGAGGGTGGGGCAGCATTTAACGACGGACGGATTGCTGTTGGAGACCGGCTGGTTGCTGTGAAGAACCTGCCGACCGGAGACTTTTACCTGGAGGACTGTTCTCATGAGGAGGCAGTGAAGGCCCTGAAGGCAAGTAAGGAGAAAGTGTACTTAGTCATCAGCAAGGTAGACAACCACTACCCCTTCGAGGTGTCCCCAAGCCCAACCTTTACTCAGATGGACCCCTACAAACCTCAGTATAAGGTCCCTAGATCTGTATCAGAAGAGGAGCTTATTCGTGCTCCCCGAACGGTTTCTCTGGTCAAGGGACCGGCGGGTTTAGGGTTTAATATCGTCGGTGGGGAGGACGGTGAAGGAATCTTTATATCTTTTATATTGGCGGGTGGACCCGCCGATGTGTCTGGGCAAGTAAAGCGTGGGGATCAGATTTGCAGCGTGAACGGTATTGACCTGAGTAACGCGACCCATGAGGCGGCAGCACAGGCCCTAAAAGGAGCTGGTAACACTGTACATATGAAGTTGCAGTACAAACCTGACGATTACAACAAGTTTGAGGCAAAGATTCACAGTCTTAAGAAGCAAATAATCAGCGGCAGTATGCTTAGAATGTCAGAGAAGAAATCCTTGTATGTTAGGTAAGAAGTTTTGAAATTTTCTTCAAATTAAACTGAAGAATTTCTATGGCTTCTTTCATTTTTCTTTCTAACATCAATGCATTGTACTCTCAATGCCATTGAACAGAATCAGAAGTTTAAATTGTTCACTGTTCAATGTATATTTTTGACAAAAGCATAGGATTTCTTTCAGTTCAGATATAGTTGGGCCTTGGGGGTTGAAAATGCATCGTTTTATAAATTCTATTTTCTTTTCAAAAATGAGTTTTTTGGCAATAAATGTTTTTGATATTTAAGAATAAATATTTTTAGATCTCTGTTCGATTATGATCCAACAAAAGACGAAGGAATACCAAGCCGAGGATTAGGATTCAAGTTTGGAGATATCCTCCACGTGACTAATGCTAGCGATGAAGACTGGTGGCAGGCGCGCCGGGTACTTCCCCAGGGAGACGAGGGAGAGATGGGACTTGTACCGTCACGGACAAGATGGGAGAAAAAGATGAGATCTAGGCACAGGTAGGGTTAAGGACATCATATATTTTTATAGTTAAACTAATTTTTCCCTTGTTTTAACATTAACATTTTATTTCGAATAATGATAAACATTAAAAAATATTGACATACCCAACCGATAATAAATGATAAGCCCTACCCTAAAAAATTATAAAACATTTAAAGCAAAGCAAATGAGGATAGGAGGAGAGGAGAAAAAAAATGCCGTACTATTGATTTTAATGAGTAATTTGCAGGTCACTAATATCATTATATGATATCAATTTAGTTTGAGTATCTTAAAATTTAAATTTGGTAAAAAGTGACCCAAAAAAAGTTAAAAGATGCATTAAAAGAAATAATTCGAAAAATCTCAAACTATGTTATGAATTATTTTCTCCACCTTAAATAGTTTCTTTCTTTCATTTTCTTTTATCTGTCTACCTCAACGCTCTTAATTCCAAACTAAAAGAAGAATCTTTTTTATCTTTAATCATAATATTAATAAAATTAAGTAATTAATGCCACAAAAATGTGTTTTCATTTCAGATGTCAGTCTTGAAATTGAATTTTTGATAAAGGAATTGAGTCTTTGAAACAAGCCTAAATTTGCCAACACTAAATCTTAACAATTTGATTTAACAAAACTCGTAATTTGAAATATCAAAAGTCTGTGAAATGAGGTTGCAAAGATACAGGGATTTGAAAATCAGAGTTTAACTTTTTGTTAAAATTAATTATTTTTCTTCAATAAAATATGGAAAGATAGATATTTGAGTTAAAAACCAATATGAGAAGAATATCCATGAAAGAAAAACAAATATATTTTTAGATCTGTCGGCTGGAGAAGCCAGACGGACGACCGGAAAAAATACTCTAGTCTCGGACGAAAACTTCCCTTTATGAAGAGCCGGGACGAAATGTCGAGCGAGACCGATGCAACCGGAAATGACGGGGAGAGCCTGCACAGCAAGGACGAGGAGTTCGTCCCGACCTACGAGATGGTTCAGCAGGTCCAGATCGAGTATACTAGACCCGTTATCGTCCTCGGACCCTTAAAGGACAGAATCAACGATGATCTGATCTCCGAGTATCCGGAGTCATTCGGATCCTGTGTTCCTCACACCACACGCCCTAGGAACCATTCAATAAAATATATTTTTTTAGTTTAACAGTAGAACCCGACCCTTCCATTTCTTTAATCACAATCAATACTTAGGATCCGGAACCGTTGGATCCGCAACATTTTGGCTTCTTGGGTCCGGATCCTCAAAAATATGCGGATCTTCGCTCTCAAAAACCAAATTTGAACTATTGAAAATAGAGCAATTATAAAAAATGTCCTTATCCATAAAAGATTCATCAAGTTTTAGCCTAAAGATAAGCCATAAAAAACAAGGGAAATAATTTAAAAATTCATTTTTTTTATGCGGATCCAGGATCTGGATCCCAAGCACTGATCCCAGTAATTGATTATTTAACTCCAACCTTCTTGTCGTTTCAAGATTAAAATGCAAGTATTGTAATTTGATGGTTTCTGCATTTTTTTGATAAAGCAGCAATGAAAGTTTAAAAATATCTGAAAGGTCTACGACATTAGGTTAAAGATAAAAGGGTCAGCAAATAAGAGTAGTTGGTTCCTTTATAGCGCTGGTATTCTGGGGGGGGGGGGTTAGATCAGATGTAGCTTCAGTTTTTCTCTTATCAGCAGCCACTCCATTCTCAATGATTCTTGTCATACAGTTGTTTAAACTGAAATGTATTTTTTGCATGTTTAAAATCATCGGGCATTCCATAGGTCAATAACTCTGTGTGATGGTTTCTGCATTTTTTGATATAGCAGCAATGAAAGTTTAAAATAACTAAAAGGTCTACGACATCAGGTTAAAGATAAAAGGGTCAGCAAATAAGAGTAGTTGGTTCCTTTATAGCGCTGGTATTCTGGAGGGGGGAGGGTTTGCTTGTTTAAATGTTATATGTTTTGTTTTTTAATGGGAAACAACCTAAGTCTTGTTAATGTTGTTTTTATGAAGAAAAATTACTCCCCTGTAAATTCATTAATATCTTGGCATGCTTAATTATTTGGTTATGTACAATATACATTATACATTTATACAAGATTTTTCTTTTTTTCTTTTTTTCTTCCCAATAATTCATCCAAGTCCATTATTTATAATGAGGAAACTAGACATATTAGAAAAGTTTCTTGTGGTTACTGAAGGATAAGGGGGAGGGGCTCCCTTAAAACCCGCGCTAAGGGGGGGGGCTGATAAGCACTGATTGGGATAATTAACCCTATCCCCGCTGGGGTACTTGAAAACCAGGATACGCTGGGGAGCAATCCGTTTCCTTATGTCATAGGCTTTCCAAAAAGCTAAATTTTATCAAAATCTGACAAGTGAAAGTGGGTCAAAACAAAGATCTAGTTTGCTACAGGAAAAAGCAGTCATTCAGGCAGTGTGCCTGAGGACTTAGGCAGTTAGTATTAAAGCCTGGTTTTAGGCCTAAAGGGAGGGCTATGGTTATGTATGTAAGAAAAGTCAGAAAATTTCAACAGCCTCAGACCAATACTTTTTGAGTTATGTAAAAAAAAAACTACAGGGGGGGTCAAATTGACACCCACCCAGCGGGAATAGGGTTAAGAAAAATAAAGAGAATGAGTGTAAAAAAAGTAACATAAAAATACAGTTTGACCAAATCTCTTGTATTTACATAACCTAATATTTAAATAATTATTTAAATTTTTGTTTTTACAATTAAATTTATAATTTCTCTTATTATAAGAAAACGTTATTTTGAATTTTTGCCGTTTTATTTACTATTTCTCTTATAAATCTAATATAATTACTTTTTTATATTTTCAAATACATTATTTCTCTTTTAATTCTAAAATAAATACTATATAGCTAAGTGTTTGGCGTTGCCCGTGGAATATTTTAATTGAATTTTGAAAAGAAAATGTTACCCCAGGGGTACTCAAGGGTTCCCTAAAAAAATTTCAGCCTATATATATATAGATTACTTTTTTATATTTAATTGCAGTAAATTTTTATCGGTTTTTGCCTGTGTTGGCCTAATTTAGTCTGTTTAAACTGTAAAACAGGGTGACGGGAATTTCAAATTACAGATATATCGGAGAATTGATTTAAATCAGGAAACCAAAGCGAACTTTTACAGGGTGTCTAAAAATTTGATATGCCAATTTCAAGTTAATTTTTACAGGGTGTATCCTCAATTTTAGCTTATTTTTAATGGTTTTCTAAGAGTCTCAAAGGTACAGTGTAAATACATAACACAAACATAGGTGTTTTTAGTGTCTGATTTTCATAATTAATCCTAGCATACTATGCTAATTTTTCCAAGATTATGAAAACTAGTTTTTTAAAAATTTTATAGTAGCCAGTTAATCATTCGTTTATGATGTCATCAAAATTGTAATTAGTTGAAGGTTTATTTTTAAAGAAATAGATTGTTTATTGCCAGCATTTAAAAAAAATAGATTTTTTATTGCCAGCATTAAAAAAATAGATAGTTTATTGCCAGCATTTAAAAAAATTGATTGTTTATTGCCAGCATTTAAAAAATAGATTGTTTATTGCCAGAATTTAAAAAAAACTTGAATTGTGAATTTATTGAATGATTTTTGCCAGGCGTGAATATGAAGTAGATTCCAGAGATTACCACTTCGTTGCCTCCAGAGAGGCTATGGAGGCCGACATTCAAAACCACAAATTTATCGAGGCCGGACAATATAACGACAACCTATACGGAACGAGTATCGCGAGTGTGAAAGCAGTCGCGGAGAAGGGGAAGCACTGCATCCTCGACGTTTCCGGGAATGCAATTAAGCGACTGCAGGCTGCGCGGATATATCCCATCGCGATTTTTGTAAAACCTCGTGATGTCAACTTCATCATTTCGGTGAACAAGAAGCTTAGCGAGGAGCAAGCGAAGAAAAGTTTCGACCGAGCTTGTCGACTAGAAAACGAATTTATTGAATACTTTACCGCCATGGTTGAGGGGGAAACCATTGACGGGATTTACGAAAAAGTTAAACAAGTTATTGTCGAGAATTCAGCCAAAAACATCTGGGTTCCGTCAAACGAGAATTTTTAAAAAAAAACTTCTTTTGTTTAGGTGTACATATATTATATATTAGATGGGATCATTCTTTCAATGTTGTCTTAAACTAAAATTCTTTCTATCAAATATTCTTTGACGAGTTCATAGTTGGATATAAGCTGCCACATTATTTCTTCCAAGTCTTATTTATCCTTAAATCATGAATCTATAGTTTCAGGGAATAGTTGAATCTCTTCGAAACCTTTTGTAAAAATGTTTACATGTATTCACAGTTAGATGCCAATATAAAGTAGAATATACAGGTTTTTATTTTTCAATTTAAAGATGAAAAATGAAAAATCGGGAGGTTAAATCACCGATTTTTCTGTTAATCAATTTATTCTTGAAAAGTATATTCCTTTGTTAGCATTTTAGGTTTAAAGCACCTAGACCCATACCTGGCATATCATCAATTGTAGCTGCAAACTTTCAAAATTCATCAGTGCTTTAATATTTAGTTTATTTTATAATTTGTATTCAGACATTATTATTTATTTCTCAGTGCCATTCCTGGATATATGTATTAATTAAATCTTAAACGAGGAAGGGAATGCAGCGCCGCCACGAGCCCGCAAAATGGTCTCAAAGTCTCCGTTTTTGCAGATGAGTATTTTTAAAAAATAACATTTTTAAAAGAAAATATTTAACCTTTAAATAGTTACGCAGCGTTTTCTTGAATGTCCATAAACATGGCAGAACTACTAAAATATTAAATTTTTTTCTCAAACATTTTATTTATTATTTCTATAATATCCATTCTAAAGGATAGGGGTAGTGCCAGGGCATTCTAAATACTCGTTTGCGAATTCAGAGACCATTTCGCGGGGCTCATGGCGTTCCTGCACCCCCTCCCTAGTTCAACTAGCCGAAAAATTAGTTTAATATTGGAACAAAGTTGATTTGTCTAAAACTGGTGTATTATGTATAAAGTTTCAGATTTAAATATTAATTTTTGAAAACTTTATCTTGTGATGTCTTTTAAGGTTTACTGTGAAAAGGGAAAAATTTCTTTATATTCTTAAAGTTGACATTGATAAATTAAAAACTCTTTTTGAATATTTTTAATGAACAAACTTTGCTTGACGCCAGGAAATAAGAAAAATTTAAAATTTTTTTATATTCCTTGGAAGTTTAGCAAGGTTAAAAATAGATGAATAAAAAATTTAATTTTAATGCGGATCCGGATCCGGATCCTGGATCCGCACTGGAAAAGAAATGGATCCGGATCCAGGTCACGAACACTTCTTTAAGATTTTTTTAACAGCAGAATTTTCGAACTATTTTTCCTTTTATCTCGCTTATTCTTACGCTAAAACCTGATGAACCATTCAGAGATCAGGAAATTTTTATAATCTCTATTTTTTCAAAAGCAGATTTTGGTTTCGAGAGTAAAAAATTTTTATTTTGCAGTTTTTGGTTGATATTTTGCCCAATAGGTCCGGATCCGTGGATCCACATATTATTGCGGATCCGGATCTAGGAAGCCAAAATCTTGCGGAAACTAAGTACTGGTAAAAAAAAATCTGTTTCAAAGGTTTATTAAACATGAACAATATTTTCTGTAAGGCTTCATTCATCAGATTTTGGAATTTAGATCATATTGACGTTTGCACAGCACACTTTACAAGCTAACATAACGTACAGGGTGTCCTGTAAACCTGGTCTGTAATTCTCGTCTTGAAATATCGATGAATGTCTAAGCATTGCAGATTCGACTAAAAATTGCTGATTTTCTCATTATGATTTACTTTTGACTGAAAATTTGGTCTCACTCAGAGCCAATAAGCATAAACTTGTTTCCTTGTTTTATAGAATCGATAAATACAATGTAATCTATTTCTATTTGTAAACACTGTAAATTCGTTGAATTTCTGTAACTTGTCATTTAACACTTTTAAATGTGATTTTTTGGTCTACTTACTTATATCTCCCGGACAATGTGTCTGGCTTTTAATTGAAAGTTTCCATGCTTATGCATAATTTAACTTGAACATTTGTTTACAGTTACTTTACAACATTCCTTTTGCATTTTAAAATGTTGGCTTATATTTACCGCTTGTTTGTTTATTTATCGAGTCCTGTTTATCCCGCATCAAGGCTTCAAGTTCAAAATATTCTGGGCCCCTGTCAATCAATCAATCAAAATATCCTTGTGATAAGTTAGACAAATACTCAGATACCCCGGCTCACATCAATCTTATGTACTACTCACTCTACTGTACATGAAACTGTACAGTTTGTCTACTTATCTCGTGTACTTTTAGGCCTTACTCATTCCGTGTACTGCATTAGTTATAAAATTCAACGTACTTTGTACATGTAGAAATGCACTAATTTACATTTTTTGGTTAGAAGAGATTCTGAATTCTGAATTATTTATTCTGGACGTGAAAAATTCAGTTATAAACAAAAATCATTAGATTGATGCGAGCTGCAGGTGAATAATTAGATTTATTGCTCATTATTTGAATTTGTAGATGTTCAACCCTACTCCTTTGTACACGACACCAACCTATATGCATCATTGTACAACTTACTTATATACAATTCTGTCTTTACACTGTAAAATGTACAATTTTGTAAATCTGAATCTGAGAAAATTTTACTGAATTTTATTTTAAACCAATTTTCACCAAGCATTAAAACAACTAAATGTTATTAACAGAGCGTATTAATTATTATAGAGTTGGAATATTGTAGCACCCATTTAGATGTACGCAAAATTGATTACTGGATATTTTTTTAATACTTTGATTACAGTTACCGCTCTTTAATAGTTCCTTTCTATGAATTTTGATTTAAACTCTGTAATTCTTCATCATCTCTGATCTTCATTTAAACTCTGTAATCCTTCGTCGTATCTGATCTTGATTTAAACTCTGTAATCATCATCTCTGATCTTGATTTAAACTCTATAATCCTATAATCCGAAAATCCTTCATCATTTCCGATTCAAGATTTAAACTCTGTAATCCTTTATTATCTCTTAATTCAAGATTTAAACTGTGTAATCCTTAATCATCTCTGATTCAAGATTTAAACTCTATAATCCTTAATCCTCTCTGATTCCAGATTTAAACTCTATAATCCTTAATCATCTCTGATTCAAGATGTAAACTCTATAATCCTTCATCATTTCCGATTCAAGATTTAAACTCTATAATCCTTAATCATCTCTGATTCCAGATTTAAACTCTATAATCCTTAATCATCTCTGATTCCAGATTTAAACTCTATAATCCTTCATCATTTCCGATTCAAGATTTAAACTATGTAATCCTTCGTCATCTCTGATTCATGATTTAAACTTTGTAATCTTTAATCATCTCTGATTCATGATTTAAACTCCGCCTAGCATTCATCCCTTCCTACGCATAACCCCTTGAGAATGAATTGACTTGTTGCTACTGAATAGTTTATTGTTATCATGGAAAAATATATCATCAACCATTAGAAACACTAAACTTTTATTAGATCCGAATGAGCGTGAAGAAGGGAGTGGTTACAAAACGTCAATTATCAAAACATCGAATTACAAAACGTCGAATACCTGAAAAACGTCGAAAACTTCAAAACGCTGCGGATAGGATGGGCTAGGGGGCCGAGCGCTTGCGGCAATTTAAATGTTGAATAATGTGCGGTCTCTTACTTATTTTGAGTTAGGTTAGGTTAAGACAATTTCTGTGCCGATCGCTGCGGATAGGATGAGCGTTGTAGCCTCTTAAGTGTTAAATAATGTTCTGTCTCACATTAATTTGGGTTGGTGGAGTTAAAACTACTTCTGGGCCGAGTGCAGACTATCACAGTAACAAAATTTAAGAAAGAAAATTCTAAATAAGAAGCGTGAAATAATCAGCTTAAATCAACATTTAGGAGGCCACAGCGCTCGGCCCCCTGACCCATCCTAGCCGTAGCGCTCGGCCCAGAAATTGTCTTAACCTTACCTAACCCAACATAATGTAAAGTTTTGTATTATCGACGTTTTGTATCAGTCGACGTTTTGCATCATCGACGTTTCGTACTCACTCCTGAAAAACATTAAATATGAAAATCGTCTTTGAACTGCGCAGCATTTGTACGGTGCACCTAAACATACAAGAGGTTGTTACGATGAAAGTATAACATAAGGAGAAAAGGCAATGAGTAGGTTCACTGTGGCGTATTTTTTATATTTTACTCTTGAAGGTTTAGGCACTAAAAACCAATTTTGTTATGTTTTGAAATAATATGTTTTACTACATACATCGCTGTAGAATACTAATATACTTTCCTCTTTTGGGTTCTTTTATTAGTGGGTAGACCTATTTTGTACATATCCAGGGTAAACCTCACAGGAGGATACTTCAGAGAGGACTGTACGTAATATATTCAGTTTTTTTCTTAGCTTAGCTAGTTTTTAAAACTTTGAGATTTTGGACTAATAAAATTCGTTCTATAATTATCTAAGAAGTTTTATAAATTTCAAACTTGTTTCTATTCCTTATTCCATGCAAAATTTTATCCCTGGGGAAAATATATACAAAAAAACGATAGTTTTTAGGGTAATTCATTTCTTTGCATTTTCTTATAGGGCAACACGAACCGTTGGAACCATAACAGATTTTGTTGCGCCTTTTACGTCCGAAACTCTTAAAAAGTTTAGAAAAACCAATCAAGCAATAGCCCGTCCACTACTACCCGCATGTGTAAACGTGTTTTTTTTTGTTGTCAAATTTGTTAAAATACCATTTAAGGCAGAAACCCACCCAACTATATAGCTAGTTATTAAAGTCTCGTCCATTGAGGAGAACCCTGTAAATACTACTTGGATGGACAACGTTCCTTTAACGAAAATAAACAGAAGAGTCCGATAGCGAATGCAGGGGCGTAAATAAGAAATTTGTCTGGGGGGGGGGGGGANCTACCCCCCCCCTAGACCATGTACAACCCCATTCATGATGTATACCAAATTATGGGTTTTAGCTGAGTTTTATTTTAATTTCCCAACCATTTCTGGGCTTAACAAACTCTATCAAATAAAAGGCTTCCTTTACCATCTTTCAGCTTTCACCTAACCCTACCCTAAAGGTTGTCCATTATAAATTGTGACTTTTTAAACAGCTTATGGAATAGCAAATCCACCAATATGAAAAATCTGCAATGATCAGTCATCTTCTATTTCATTTGCTAACATTTTCTTTTTGAAAAACAAAAACAAAAATTCGCGGATTTTATACAACATTTCGAGGATTTTCAAATTTATAAAAAATCAAATTTTGTTCGAAGCAAATTTTTTTAATCAAAAACTACCGTGCCAATTATAATTCATACTTTCCCCTGAAATTGAAGGGTCTTATACTGGAAAAATATTTTTATAAATGAGAGACTGCTTTTGGAGCTAATGTTTCTCATGAAATTTCTTTTAAGTCAAAATCTTATCATCCAGCGTAAATTTAAAACTGATGAGTGAAAGCCTTTTTTCTAAAGTTTTAACATTGCTTTATGTCTAACATTGTGTTGAAATGGTTAAAACTTTAGGGGTCGAGTCCTCCCCAAGCAACAATCCGCTCCATGCGGGACACCGGGAACTTCAGCAAGTATAATTATGCTATATCTAGGCTTTATCTTCTGCTATGCTCACCACTATACCACCGACGCTTTCTTGTTAGGCTGGTAATACAGATCCCTACAGATGATGTACATTAGGAAAGGTCATCAAACAAAAAGTCACTGCCGTGACCAGGATTCGAACCTGGGTTACTACGGTCACAACGCAGGGTCCTAAGAGTCCTAACCACTAGACGATCACGGCTAGAGACATCCATCATTGGGAGAATGAGCGCATAGCTCTCAATCTGTGAAAGGTCAATGACAAGGAAGTAAGATCTCTGTTCAAATGTTGGGTTTCCAACAGTTTCCGTGGTGTAGCGGTTATCACATCTGCCTAACACGCAGAAGGTCTCCGGTTCGATCCCGGACGGAAACAGTATCCCACGTGGTCTAACGGCTAGGATAGCTGGCTTTCACCCAGCAGGCCCGGGTTCAACTCCCGGCGTGGGAAACATTTTTGATTAAATAATCTGTGCTCAAATTTTATCCTTTTAATGTTATTTTCTCTTGGTTATTTGTATGAAGCCAAAACAGTTTCCCATTTCTATCGCCATGACGAGGTGGCCGAGTGGTTAAGGCGGTGGACTGCTAATCAAATGGGCTCTGCCCGCGTGGGTTCGAATCCCATCCTCGTCGTACATTTTGGTTTGACAAAATTCTTCGCATGTTTCAAATTTTTGCATGCAAACAAAGTCCCCAAAAGTAATTTCAATTGTGAACAATAGCATAATTCTCTTTGTAAACATTGAAAAATTGGAGGATTTTATAAAAGAAATTTAGTGGATTTTCAAAATTTTCAAAAATCGAATTCTGTTGGCAGCAAATTTTTGATAATTCGATCATCCGTGAACCTTTCCGGGGGTCACAAAAGGTCCCTCAAAAAGTTCGGGCCCGTTTGGTTCAGCCGTTTTGTTTCCAAAAATTTTGATCTTTGTAAAATATTAGGAGTCCACGAAAAAAAATTTAAATTAGCCAAATTCGTTATCATTGTTTTATCTAAGGGAAAATGCTGAAAGATTGAGCAACATTTAGAAGTTGAAATAGCACAGTTAAATGAGTTAAATAGCTTTATCCGTCATCCCCGTAATTAGCACTAATTAAACCCTTACTCCAAGATTGGATCAAATCAGGGGCGAATTCAGGAATTTGTCCATGAGGGGGGGGGGGGGCTTAAAATTTTTTCTGTCATGTGTGTCTCAGTACCCGTCGTGTGGGCCTAAAACTCCCCTGGAAATCACTTATTCAAGGGGGGGATAAGCTCCCTCCCTCCAATATTGCAAACAAACTCTGTAGAGTGTATTAAGTGCTCCAAATTATGTCGAGGATTCTTGTCAAACTTTGAGACTTTTACTTCGATAGAAAAATGTAATGTCATTTTTCCTAATAATGACAAAATAAGAGAGGGAATTGTCAAATTTACAACGGTACCCTTTAAGCTTTAAAATGAGCAAAATTAATAAAAAAAATCGCAATTTTTTGATGTTTTCTTATAGTCTTTTCTCGATTAAAAGTGAGTTGGGGATTTTATGCAACAGAAACAAAGAACTTCATTCATAGAATTTAACACTTTTAAAGATGTTTAAACGATAATGTCTTCCGTATTGTTGCACCGAATGCCGTTGTGAATATATGCATAAAAAAATTGACAAAAGATCCTTTAAATTTCTATTTATTAAAAGTCGTTGGATTAATTTATCACTTGACTATACCTGAATTCACAATTTTCTTCAAATTTTTTGCTTCAGCGGCAAATTTGAAGTAAAATTTTTTTTAACATATCCAAATCCAATCGAACAAAAAGCCGATTTTAAATTCCTATTTCTATACACTTTCAGAGAAAAGACTGAATAAGGCATTTTCAATGAATCAAAAAGTGTACACTACATACATGATGCATCAAAATTTATTAAATTATATTTTGATAGAACTCATAGAACGAACCATGAAAATCATTTTTAGAAAAATCCAAGCCTCACTGCATTATTGTACACTTAAAATATGTGCAATGTACATTGCAGTGCATGATGGTATCAAAATATTAAATAACATTGATAAAATAAAATCAATTGTGTCATTATAAAATAGTTGTTTAAAAATATTAGACTATACCTGAATCCACAATTTTCTTCAAATTTTTTGCTTCAGCGGCAAATTTGAAATTAAACTTTTTTAACATATCCAAATCCAATCGAACAAAAAGCCGATTTTAAATTCCTATTTCTATACACTTTCAGAGAAAAAACTGAATAAGGCATTTAACATATTGAATATATGAAAACCATTTGGTATACAGTGATAGCCAGGAAATTCTGAAATAGACGACTTTATAGCAATACTTAGGTGTATTTGATAACATTGCAAAGCAAATAGTTTTAATAGACTGTTATTTTATCACTAATTAAGTGAAATGAGTCTGTTTACACTGCACAATTTCTGTATCCCATGCTTATTGGACTAAAGTCATACCTTGAGTCTTAAAGTCGTCTTTCTATTCCAGAGTTTTCTGGTTATATATCTGTACTTTTACTGAGTTACACACTAAAAAAACATTTAGACAGTTAGGCGGCGAATACCTAAATACTTTGATTTTATACTTGTTTTGAAATTTTTTTATAAATGGTAGATCAGATTTAACGTTTCTCTAAATTTGCCTTTGAATTTCCGGAGTGCAATGTTTAAAGCCAATTTTTAATGCTTTACAAATACGTTATCAAAACTATGGTGCCAATTTTCCCGCGGAATGCATACTGATATTTTGAAAATTCTAAAAAATCATTAATAAAGTTTTTTTATGAAGTATGCATATACAGTTAGAGTTACAACTTACAGTTCCTTTAATAAGAGCACATATACTTACCTTGACTAAAAAAGAAAAAAATTAAATATCCTAATAGTAATTTGTAACTGATTAAAATTCAGGCCTTAAAAGATATGGATATACTTAATTCAAAAATGATTGTCTTATGACTTGTCAAAACTCGCAAAAATTTTACAGCTCAAAAGTTTTATTTTACTTATTTAGCTAAGGGATGTTAACGTTTTCATTTTTTTTTGAAAAACGATCTTTTCGTTATGAAAACGACGACAAAAAAACGATAACGAAACGATTTTTCAAAATTATTATTTTTATAAAGCTCGCTGTTCCGTTAAAGATTGTTAATGATTGTCCCTTCGTTAACGATCGATAACGAAGAGAGGAGAAGAGAGGAAACCGCCCTGAAGGGCATCGGTACTTATCATTGAGCAGTTTTATAGAAAATATCAAGAAGTTTTAGCTCCCCCCAACTTTTTACCTTTATATAAGACGACATTCGATAAAGTTGCATGTATTTTTTTTAAAACGACAGTTTTTATAAAGTTCGTCGTTTCGTTAACGATCGTTAACGACAACCTTTCGTTAACGATCGTTAACGACAACCATTCTTTAACGATCGTTAACGGCGACCCTTCGTTAACGGTTAACGATCGTTGACATAATTATCAATAAACAAAAATACAAAACGATAGTTTTTTTTAAACAATCGTATAAAAAACGATCGCTGATCGTTTTACAAAAATGATCGTTATTCATTTTATAAAGGTTCAAACCGAGTGGGACGTTTTTTAAAACGCGTTTTTTCCGAAAACGAAACGATCGAAAAACTATGCAAAAAACGATCGTTTTCAAAAACGATTTGGGAATTAGTAATATGTTTTTAGTGAATTTAGTCGATTCTTTGCTTTAAACATTAGTTTTGCAGGATAAAAAATTTCAACACTGCATTTTCTATCCATGTAAATTTTAAATAAAAATTTAAATTCACAATTTATATAAAAAGAACAAAATCTAAAAATAATGATGACATTTCATACGATCAAATTCGGCATGCGTGAATTCTGTAGTTTGGCATAGCAACGGAGACATAAAATGTCAAGTTTTTATTATTATGCATCATTTCAGGGGGCGGTGGGCTGGTGTTTAGTCCCTTCGGCCAGCAGAACCAGGGAAATGATTCAGGGCGGGGCAGTGTAAGAAAAGGGGTGGGCGTGTAAAGTCAGGTGCGGAATTTTTTAAGATTAGAACCAGAGTCTGGTAGGAGTTTATGGGGTGGTGGCTAGGGGGTGGAGAAGTTTCCGCGCAATACAGGGCCGGGGAGGGGAGTTATGAGTACGAGTTTCGTAACCATTTGGGAGGGGTAAATGATAAAGCATGAGGATGAAACCATGTAGAAAGAGAGGGGGGGGGGCGGCAAGAACTTTCTGAATATGTTCACTTTTCAGAAAACGTGTAAACTTGTTGAATATGTTAAAAAAACATTGAAACTTGTTAAATATGTTAAAAAAAACATTGAAACTTGTTGAATATGTTAAAAAAAACATGGAAACTTTTTGAATATTTTTGAATATATTTTTGAATCTGCTTGAAAACATGTGAATACCCGTTCATAAAACTTGGAAAATTAAGTTTTGTAATTATATTCGCAAAATTTGGAAACTTTTGTGAATATGTTCAGAAAACATGAACAATTTGAGAATAATATTTCAGAAAAAAATAGACTTTGAGAATATGTTCAGAAAACATGGATAGAGGGATGAATGTTTTTATCTGACATCGGTTAAAATCGAAATTGTGTGTAAAACTAAGTTATTAAAACAAAACTGAAAACTGTGTGAAAATGTAAAATAAACCTTGACTTTGATTTGACCAAACCAAGCAAATCTGAACAGATGAATATGTTCAGCGCATATGAAGAGAGTTTTGTTTATATAAATAAAAATGTTCAGTCAGATAATTAAGTTTTTGTTACAAACTCAAGATTGTTTAATCTCTTTATCTTGGCAACCAAATGTAATAGACCTTAGACATTTCAAACTTTTAACTCTGTTAGATCAAATAATTTAAGTTTGAAACATATAAGGCTTACACCGTTAGGTAGCAAAGATATAGGGATTAGAACATTTGAATCTGTGGCAAAGACTCTATTCATTTGGAATTTTGTAATGTTAATTTTTCTGTAAACTTGCGAACATCTGGATTCCTAATATATGTTTATAGTAAACATTTTTACTAAATGAAATCAGCATTTAACGAGATTTTATAAAAATGGAACAAACTTATTATTGACAGAGATAAATAACAAAAATTAATTAACAAAAACAGCAATTGCAATCAGATTTAATGAACAAAATCATTGATAAAAGTTGCAACTATTTAATTGAATAAAACTAACTTAAATTTTCTTGGTATTTTTCGAAAATAAAACTTTAATATGAAGAACTAAATTCTTTAATTAAATAGTTGACTAAAATTACAATTCTTGAAAATTTAATGAAAATTGTCCCTTTAAAACTCTTTTTAATTTATCCGGCCGGTCTTATCTTCATGTTCCCTTCCTTGACAAAAGGGGTGCACCCCCCCCCACTCCTGTCACAGGTTTGATGTTATATTATCGCATATGAAGTTGAACATATAGATTTGAGGAAAGTCTGAAGATTAGATTTTAAGAAAATTTGACTTCTAAGATACCGAGTCTAGGAAGAAAACCAATGTGGTTTATAGAATCGGGGGGGGGGGGGNTGGGAGCTTCAGAGAAATCTCAATAAAATGACCATTTGTCGATATGGCAAACCCCACCTACTTTTCTCACCCGATTGCTAAATTCCTACTCTTTCATCCTTGCTCATCCGTTAAAATTAATTGCCTTATTCATTATTGCTAATAAATATATTTTTATCTACCTTTTCAAGTTTTCTGAATCATCTTTATCAGGTCTTTTTTCAAAACGTATACTTGTTTTCTCTCTAATCCATTCTTAGCTCACTTTTCTTTTAACATATTTTTCATCTTTTCTATTCTTGTTTACACATAATCCTTTCAGTTAACTATTGTTGTCCCTCATGATTCCCAATCATATGCCTAAAGTGGAGCAGTATCATTAATCTTGATTCTTGAACGCTTAATCTTGATTGCCAATGTGGACACCTTTAAATTTAAGGATCAATGCCATTTTGAAGATATCAAAGAGGAATCGAATTACTCCGTAAGTGTCTGCATGAGGTGGAGATCAATTGTCTTGATCCCGAAATTTACAGAAGTTGTGACTAAAGAGCTGGGAACTTTTGAATCTACAGATCAATTAACCTATCGGGATAAAGCATATCCCGTTCTAGAGTTCCCAGCTCAGATCTTTTTCCTGTTTCCTGTTTGTCATTCGTCCATATCCATCCTGATACCTTAATGAATTGTTGTCTCCCATCTTCGATCATATTCTCTCATCCATCTTTTCGTGTCTTTTTACTCCATATTTTCTTTAAAATCTTTTCATACTTCTTAAACTATCTTTTTTCTCTTCATTATTTAATTGTAACATTTCATAACGACAGAACAAGTTTCCCTTTAAATTTCGCGGATTTTTATTTAAAAAAACTTACAATTTTATAAAACTTGAACTGACAAAACTTATATATCCAACCGTAATGTGTTATTTTTTGAAGAAATATGTTTTTTGTTGTGATTTTTCCTTTTTTCTTTGCTTTCAATTGATAATCTAGATATTATATTGAAATTTTTTAAAATTTAAACCTTATAAACAAACAAACAAAAGTAAAAATCCCGGCAAAAAATATATTGTCCCGCATTATAGCACAATACAGCTGTATAAATAGATATTGTGTCTCTTATTTTGTCATCAATCTATGTAGGGCTGGGCTTAAAGCTCCGTTAACGGAACGGAGGTTTACGAAAATTATTCACAATAATCATAATCTTTTTTCAGTCTTTATCTTCTTACTCATCCAAGAGTTGGTCATGTACATTGTACACTGTACATTGTACATTGTACATTGTACATTGTACATTTTGCTTCGTTCGTATTTCAACATCCTGAGAGAAGATATTTAGCAAGAAAACTATCGTAATTTTAACTCCCTTTTTTACATCCTTTTCCTCCTTTTCTCATCCCTATTCTATCTCATCCAAATTCTTTCTCATCCTCTTTTTTTAAAAAAAATAGGAACATTGAGCAAGTTACAAGCTAGGAAAAAAAATGAAAAAACTATCAATTAGGAACAAAAATCAAAGAACTAGGTACGTAATTCGTAAAACATGAAATAATGATCAACACATGAAGGTACATCCTACAGGTTTATTAAGTAAGGAACAAAATATGCAAACAAACATATGCGCATAGCATTGTGCAAAAAAAAGTAATTCATACTGTACATGAACTAATGGAACAATAGTTAATAATAGGAACAAAAAGCAAGTTCAGACCAAAAAGAAATTACTAGGAAAGTTAGATGCATGTAAATTAGGAACAGTATTGCATTTTTGATTACTAGCCTTATAGGGCGCTTCGTGCCCATCTTCTAAATTAATTGTGAACATGTTCTCTTTGTGTACATCGTAAAACAAAACAAAAATAATTCGCGGATTTTCACAAAAAATTTCGTGGATTTTCAAAATTTTAAAAAATTTAATGAAGATCGAATTTTGATGGAGACAAATATTTGAAATTTCGATCATTCATAAACCTTCCCTGTGGTCACGTGATGTCCCACAAAAAATTTGGGCCCGATCGGTTCAGCCGTTTTGACAAACAGACAGACAAGCCAAATTTATATATAGAAGTAGTAAGGCCAACATTACAATGCATATGCAAGTTAGATAGAAACAATATTATAATAAAAACCTTCTCCAGGCCCGTATCTAGGGAGGGGTGCCTAGGGGTTAGGTGTACCCCTCCCCCCCCGGTTTCTCCTAAAATGGGGGTACAAGCAACGGCGAATATTCCCCCCCCCCCCCCTTTTAATTAAGTTGTTTGGATCTTCTCTTGAAAAATTGTTATCATTCTGTATAGTTCGAAACAATTGTTTTTGTTTAATAAAGCTGTTCCATTAGACCAACCAAATAAACCCCTTTTTAAAAAAATATTTATCCTGAGGTTTAAGATTTTCTGATCGAACTGGTTTGTTGTTCTTTTGCATATGTCGATAATCAAACATAATTGATACTATGTAACAAATAATATATGTTCTAGTAGGTATCAAAAATTGATACGTTTTACTCGATGATCCATGGGCTTAAATTAAAACAGAATTTTGGGTTCCTATTTAGAGATTTTTGTGCACCTAAAAAAGCTCCCCCCCCCCCATGGCTGAAATCCTGTGTTTGCCCCTGTCCTATCAAGTCAACTATCCTCATCTGGATTTTAAAAAATTCCTTAATCTTATCCTTCTTCCTGATCTCCACTCTAATAGTTTTCGTATAAATTACCCTTATATATAAATAATTTTTTTAACCTTCATAATTTAAATCTCGCCTATAATAAAATGCGTCATAATTTTAGTCATTCTTTCAAATAAAACTGAGTTTTTTTTATGATTAATATCGTCATCGACAAGAATACTTGGATGCATGCAAAATTTTCTATTAACAACTATAAATCTAAATAAATAAATAAATCTAATTATGGTCTCACATTGTCCTGATTTGAATTGAAACTTTAAAATTCTCAGAATTAGAGGAAATATTTAACCGGCTCGTTAATGCGCAATTTGACGTCATTGACGCAATAACTGCACTCAAGAAAGTTCCGTGTCGGCGTACTGTCTCGACAGCTGTACTCCCCGTACCGACCAATAGGAGCATGGAGAACAACCCATTCTTTTGAAAAATGAACCAGTTAGCAAACTAACTTTGCCGAGGCAGCAAATCAAGATGACCCACATACACCAACACTGATCTAATCAATTTTGTGATAAAACTTAAAAAGTGATAAATTCCAGATGGAATCTACAGATGATTTACCCTTTAACGAGATTAAAGTAGAAGCTGACTCCGTTGATATTAAATATATAGACGTAGAACCATTCCTACCAGAAGATGATTTAAATGCCGATATGTGCTCACAGGTACATTATGTATATATAAAGGGTGAGTAAAAAAAAGTATGATTTGAGGCGTCTGGTGCAAAACTGTACCTTTTTTGTGCAACTCTCCTGAATGGTGATTTTTCAATATTTTTTGAAAATTTGCATTTTTTTGAATAAAATACGCGGACCTTTTTTTCTCTCAAAATCAAAAGTTCAGAATTAAACAAAAATGTGTAAATAAATTGTTGAATCACAGAATCGGGGTCTGTCCTGTATACAATTTTTGGACCCCCCCAGGCCCCCTCCCCCCCCCTCCTATCAATTTTGTACATGACCATTTATTTTTCAGCAAATTTATTATTATTTTTGTTATTTAGGGTTAGGTTAGATTAAGATACTTTCTGGGCCGAGCGCTGCGGCTAGGATGGGCTTGGGGGCCGAGCGCTGCGGCCACGGGTTAGGTTAAGTTAAGAAACTTCCTGTCACACCCATGTACAAAATTGATAGGAGGGGGGGGGAGGGGGCCTGGGGGGGGGTCCAAAAATCGTATACTAGGAAATTACCATCTCAGAAAATTTGCAAAATTGTAATAAGAAAATTCGCAAGTTTCAGTTTTTACGGAAAAATTGTTTTTCAAATGGTTCGTAGGATTCAACTGAACAGCGTTTATTTAATACTTAAGAATATACTAAGAAGAATATATATGTATTCATGTATGTATGAATATATTTATATACATTTTATTAAAATTTAGGAATATGATGAATAGTTTTAGTATTTGTGCGCTGTTCATAGAAATGGAATGCTTATTTTTATTGAAAATTGAACTGATATTTATTACCGAATTTCTTCTAGTTTCAATGATGTAGTCTAGTAATATGTCGAATGCGTATGGGGTTAAATTTGATTTAATTTGGATCATTAAGGCCCAATTCTTTTTGCATGAATTATATTTGGAAATACTATACTTAGAAACAATGGCTTCTAGTTTAATGTTGTTTTTGGGTCTTCCTTCCATTTCATCTATTAAAGCTGTTATTCCAAAATACTGCCCCCCTAGGGGTTTTTTACGACCAACCCCTGGGCCTTAACAATTTAATTTCGTTAAAAGTAGATTCTGTTAGCACTATTCTTCTAGGAAACTCTAAATTCCTAATAACCCCCCCCCCCATTCCTTCTAGTACGCACTTAATCATATGAACGCAGTTTATATCTCATGATGTTTAAATCACACCATACCCCCTTTTATACGATCCTGCCCCCAGCGTATTAATCTTTTCTAAGAAAAATCCTGAAGCAAAAAAAATTTAATTAAATATTTATCAAGGTAATATTCATGAAACTATCTTGGGAACCCAGCTCTGTCTGGAAACTAAGATGTTCATTAAAATGTGCGCCTACTTAATTGACTCTAAATGTTCAAATCAAAACAAGAACATTCCGGTGGGTTTAATGAGTTCCCAATCAAAATTTAAGGCAAATCGGTCTAGGGGTTCATACGTTTTGATCGGACACGCATATTAGAAAGCAGTTGAGGTGTCAACACTTCCCCTCTCAGAGAGAAAGCATGCAAAATGCAATCCTTATATAACCTTTATACTGTTAACGAATATGGGTTCACACCCTTTGCTATAAATGGTAGATGTCAAAGTCTTACAGTAAACAAGAATGGGTTCACACCCTTTGCTAATATCTATTATGTAATAAATGCATTCCTGAAAATGATCTGATTATTTAAGTGCTGACTATAGTATCTGCTTGTAAATGCACAATGAATGTTATTCAGTTGAGATTTCAAAATTAATATAGTTTCGAAACAAATACCGATCAGAACAAAATTATTAAACATTATATTTTCAAATGGTTCATATAAAATTTTCTTTTGTGTTTGTTGTCAGCTGTACCATCATACCATTATTTTCATTTTGTGTAAATAAAATAAAATTATTATAGATAAAATTAATTTCAACCGTTAACTTTGGTCAGGTGGGTCGACCGGCCAATGCCTAAAAAGTTTCCACATTGAGAAGACTTTCACGTGACCCTTCAACTAAAGTTGCATATGTCCTAGTCACAATGGTATCATTTAAAACAAGAAGTTATCATCATTTTTTAATCTTAAAGCGTGTTGAATTATGACAATTTCCGTCATCTTCTATGGTAGCATAAATGCTAAATTGGATTTTTAAACGACAATCAAATGAAAGTAACCAAGTTTTCGAATGAAAAATGGATATATCATTCATTATTAATGAGTCATGTTTAAAGGGTACCATGTGCATTGGCCACTACTCAGTATCGTTTGAACCCGTCAAATACTAAATATTAGTCACAATTATTTTTTTTAGGTAAAAGTAAAGGATAAGGTCTTGGATACAATAACCTCCTCCTCCTACACCACAACCTCTACATCCTCACAGTACTTCCAGGTCGGGGTGATCAAACAAACCTCTCAGTTCAACCCTGACATGAAGAATCCAACCCAACCCGTCTCCTGGAGTAGCTGGACCAGCCAGGTCAAATCTGAGGACGGAATAACGGTTTACGATAAAACCGGTATGTACGCTGACACAGTGTACATAGACAACCTTCATGATGTACAGGTATGTGCAGATACCTTGAGTCGGAAATTGATTAATGAGATAGTTGAACTAGTTTAATTACTGGTTCAATTTGAGCACATAATAGTAGCTTTACTAAGCGTACCAAAGCACAAGTATTTAATTAATTATTGATTACGAACTCAATTAAAAATTACAACTCTGATTTTCTAACTCCCGTATATTTGCACCTCAATGTCGTACCCATTTAATAATTCAAACTATGAATTCTGTTTGAGTCAATAATCCAAGTTTGAATTACCTAAGGTTTTCACTATCAGGTTGCACAATGTATGTTTTAAAAAGAGTTTGTGGCAAAACTTCAGCTTTCCTTTTAACCCTTTCTAGAATTTTTTTTTAATAAATTCTTCGCCTTCAGAATTCTTAATAATTTACCGTGTTTAGATAAGCTCTGATGATCATGAAATAATTACCATCATGGATTCACATAAAGATATCAAGAATCCAGTATCTCTCAACACATATCTCAAGGATCTATCCCCTCCCTACTCTCCTATCATGAACCACAGTATTACTCAACTAGATGGTGCTCCCTCGCCCACCCTCTCAGAGAATTCTTCCGCCTACACGGCACAGAGTTCTCCCACCTACCCGGCACAGAATTCTCCTGCCTACCCAGCACAGAATTCTCCTGCCTTCCCGGCACAAAATTCTCCTGCCTACCCGGCACAGAGTTCTCCCACCTACCCTACACAGAGTTCTCCTCCCAACCCGGCACAGAGTTCTCCCGCCTACCCGGCACAAAGTTCTCCCGCCTATCCGTCTAAGAAGTCTTCCGCAAACTCTGAACAGAATTCTCCCTCAAACCGAGCACAGATTTCTACGGCTTATCCACTACAGAGCTCTCCCGCCTGTCCGGCACAAAACTATCCAGAATTTCCGCCACAGAATTCTCCAATTTATCCGCCACATAGTTTTCCCTCCTACCCACCCCAGAATTCTCCCGCCTACCCGCCACTGAATTCTCCCGACTACCCGCCACAGAATTCTCCAGCCTACCCGCCACAGAATTCTCTAGCCTACCCGCCACACAATTCTCCCGTCAACCCGCCAGAGGTTTCTCCTGCTTACTCACGACAGAGTTCTCCTGATTTTTCACAACAAAATTCTCCTTCCTACCCTGAAGAGAAATCCTTGGCTAAAAAATCAGAAATCAATTCCGCTTTTACTCAGCATAGCATCCAGTCATTCACGGAAATACATTCTAGTCATAACACTCTATCCTACCAGACCCAACATAATCAATACAAACTCATAAATAAGAAAGAACTATCTCCCACATACATATCAATTCCTGAGACATGCTCGCCGTCCTACAGTTTTCAGAATGTCCAAGGCTCACAGTACTTCCACGCATTCAACTCTCCGTTTGTATACGGTCACCAAGACCCAAGTTCAGAGGTGTATCCAGGTGTTGATGCTCCTATGGACTATTCTACCGACTCAAGAACCAGATATAACTCGGAGAATACTGATCTGAATTCAGTTCCATCTCCAACTTGTTATCCACTCAGTTTATCACCTGGAGCTAAACCTCTGGGATATCCAGGTCTAGGTCCTGATAATATGATTGACTCCGGGTATTCTGATACTAGCACGTCATGGATTCAAAGATACTCTGAGGACGGTAAGAGTTCGGATCATTCAACGTCATTAATAAATCAGTACTACCCATACCTGCAAGAGCGTACAAGTGATGTTGCTTCCTACCCAGTTAGAGAGTCTAGTCCTTCAGACTCCCAGTCAAATAAAACCTTTCAGTTTAATTCAAACACTGGGTTTTACCAAGGCGATTCCTCTGTTAACTCAAAGCAAGATATTCTCAAAACCGTTCTCAACACTCTTGGTTTTCCCTCCAGTAGTTCCAGTTCTCCAACTACTCCGGAGATTCTAATCCCAACCACTCTCCAGAATTCCGATCCAAGTGATCCCAACACCTCCGTCGTGGATGAAGACGGACGAAACAATGCCGCCACGAAACCTCGTGCACGGAAACGGAAACGAGAGCCAAGCAATTTCACAGCTAGATACAGAGAAGGAGTTCAAGTAGGGTTTATAAATATTAATCCTTTTTAATAAATGTATCCTAGCTTCCACTTTAATTGACTAAAAAGCAATCTCTTTTGACCAAATTAGGAGAAATTTTTTACGACAGTTTATCGATTTTCATAAAACACAAGTAAATGCAAAAAATGAACTTTTTAGTTGATATAATATTTTTTATAGATCTAATAAAATAGAATAGAAATTTCCTATTTTTAGATACCTGAGGCTGAGAAATCTAAATGGAAAGCAAAGCTGGAGAAGACGAACCAAACGTAAGAATATTTTTTTATTATATTTAATTGGTTGTTTAAGAAAAATCACAAAATAATATTTTGCGTCTGACTTAAAAATTTAGTTTTTTTACTACTTATTGTTAGTAATCATAATAAAAATGCTATTTAAAAATATTTACAAAATCTTTTTAAAAGTTGAATATTTTTGATAAAAAGTTTAAATTAAATCTATTTTTCAGATGTCGGATCTGTGGGGATGTATCCTCTGGAACTCACTACACTTGCTACGCCTGCGAGGGGTGCAAATCTTTTTTTAGGTAATTAAACATCATTTTCTGTCCTAAGATCAATTATATATTTTTTGAAGTTTAAAAATATTTTGCAATTTTATTTTAACTATTTTAGGCGTGCTGTAACGAAGAAAGCCACCTTTAAATGTAGATATTCAAACGGATGTAACATTGTCTTCAGTGTGCGCAATAAGTGTCAAGTAAGTTTTAAAATATAAAAAACACAAAACATTATTTTATTTTATCAAAAGATATATTTCATTGTTTTTTAATTGAAGGCCTGTAGGTTTGCTAAGTGTATAGCTATGAACATGAATCCCCAGTGTGTTCGTGAAGAAGGAAGGAGAGGCAAAAATCCCAAACTAAACCCAACCTCTGATCCTAAAACCCAGGATGAGAAAAAATCCCAATCTACAACAGAAGAACCTGTGTACACAGCTAGAAAATCTGTTGCACCTCTGAAACCGGTAAATAGTGAAACTAGAAAATCCACCGGAGATCTAATCTTAAATGCGGCAATTCGAGCAGTAGCAGACGCTGATTCCGGTATGACTGATAACCAACGCACTGGAGAGGTTTATCAGAATCCTACGATGACCTCCAGGTCCTGGCAAGGAGGAAATAATCCTGAAATAACCTGCAAGGAATATGAAGTGCTGATTAAGCTGGTTAATCTTTACAATCAGCTTGAACATCCTCACCCAACAGATCTTGATGAAATCGGTAGGGGTCAACTTTCAAAGAAAGAACCTGAGCTGGTAACTTTTGTATTGGAGACTCACAATCCCGACCACTTGATATCGATATCCACTGCGGGCTCTTTTAATTTGAGAATCAATGCTTATTTATTCTCTTCATGTCAGTTATTCCTCCAGGGTAACCTGCAGATTAACAAAAGATCTAGATCAAGCATTCAAAATATTGACAATTGACGATACAAGAGTTTCCAGCTCTGGACAATGATTCTTAAGTTTATTTTTAGATCAATTTGCATTTTTTAACTCTAAAACAGGGTGTTTAGTATAACTATTGATAGAAACATTATTTTAATTAAAAATAATTGTAAGATTAATTATATTTTCTTTAAGAATGTTTTTTTTGTTTTAGATGACCTGATTGCACAGGAGAAAACAGATGAGGATAAATACATGACAGAGGTTTTAGAAACTACTTGCCTGGCTGCTAGGTATTTAAATTAAATGTCAATTTAGAAAATAAAATGTTTTTTTCTTATCATAGTCCTTCTTGGCATTTTAGGATCTCAACACTTCTTCCTTTTTAGGGATTTAGTTTTATAAAGTCATTTTCCAGATGTTAATTATATCCTTTAGGTTAATTGTTCAATACAGCAAATTTTTGCCTGGTTTCATTGATGTGGATAGATCAGATCAGATGACTATTCTCAAGGTAGGTTTTACATACAAGTTTCATTTTACTTTTATTCTAGTTTCATCTTCTTTTAATCCTAGTTTCATTTATTTTCAGTCCTAGTTTCATTTCCCTTTCATTTTAGTTTTATTTCCCTTTAATCCTAGTTTCATTTCCCTTTAATCCTAGTTTCATTTCCCTTTAATCCTAGTTTCATTTCCCTTTAATCCTAGTTTCGTTTCCCTTTAATCCTAGTTTCATTTTCCTTTAATCCTAGTTTCATTCCCCTTTAATCCTCGTTTCATTTCCTTTTAATCCTAGTTTCATTTCCCTTTAATCCTAGTTTCGTTTCCCTTTAATCCTAGTTTCATTTCCCTTTAATTTTAGTTTCATTTTCCTTAATTTTCCTTTAATCCTAGTTTCATTTTCCTTTAATTCTAGTTTCATTTTCCTTTAATTTTAGTTTCATTTTCCTTAATTTTAGTTTCATTTCCCTTTAATCCTAGTTTCATCTCCCTTTAATCCTAGTTTCATTTCCCTTTAATCCTAGTTTCATTTCCCTTTAATCCTAGTTTCATTTTCCTTTAATCCAAGTTTCATTTTTCTTTCATCCTTGTTTTATTTTCTTTTAATCCTAGTTTCATTTTCTTTTAATCCTAGTTTCATTTCCCTTTAATCCTAGTTTCATTTCCTATTCATCCTAGTTTCATTTTCCTCGCATTAAAGTTTAATTTCCCTTAAATTTTCCATTTATCCCAGTTCACTTAATTTTATATCTTAGGTTCAGTGTTTATTTACTAGAATCTTGTTTTAACTCCCTAAATTGCGCCAAATAGTTATAAAACCCCAAATTCCATAATATTGCAGGGAAGCTCAAGTGAATGTTTGATTTTGCGAAGCGCCCGACGGTACAATGTTGAGACGGACAGCATAGTGTTCAGTAATAACCACGCCTACACCACCACAACCTGGGACATCGTGGGTCTAGACAATACGGAGCTCATGCGATTTTGCAGAAACGTAAGAATTATTCTATTTTAAACTTTATAATTTAAGTAGCTTGGGAACCCAGCGTTGCCCAGAGGAGTCATAGTTAGTCCCACCATTTATCCGCGAGTGGTCGTAAATTACGATTTAAGCTATTTTTCCCGTTAAAAGTGGACCCTACAACTTAGAATTTCAAAACTAGTGTAAGAACATTCCCGTGGCTCTCCCGAGTTCCTCAATCAAAATTTTTGGCGAATTGGCTCAGGAGTTTCACAAACAAACAGACACACAGACAAGCAAAGTAGTATATATTTCTATATATATAACAGACAGACAAGCAAAGTATATATATCTACATATATATTTTGCTTGTTTGTCTGTTTGTATGCAATAAACGTCCAAACGTCTGAACCGATCGGGTCCAAATTTTATTTTGGGACCTCACATGACCCCCCCCCCCCTCACCCCCTGGGGAAGGTTTATGGATGATCAAAATTTCAAAGATAAGCCTCTAACAAAATTCGATTTTCAATAAAATTTTGAAAATCCAAATTGAAATAGAAGATGGACGCGAAGCGCCCTTGACAGCTTGGTATATATATATTATATATAGATAACGCGCAATTTCCCAAGGTGAGAGACTGCTCCCTTCTATCCCTCCTATCCCTTCTTGCACAAGGTGTTTGGCTGCATGTTTAGATTTTGTATTTATTTAGGTTTGTAGTTTAAACCTGGATAATGCAGAATACGCTCTACTAACTGCAATCATCGTTTTTAGTGATAGGGATAACATCCAGTTTAAACACAAGGTAATAAACCTTATACAGATTTTAATGCTAGGGGGTTCCAATTCCAGGTTTTTTGTGGTAGGTCAGGTCAAAAGCAAAAGTGGTAGATGTTAAGCTCAATCAAATTTTCGTGGCAGATTTTATGCATTAAGACTAAGTTTGTGGTAGATTTTCTAAGCTACAATTGCATGTGTGGCAGATTTCATGTGCCAAGAGTAAGACATTATTTGTGACATGCTTAATAGCAGATTTTTCTTGAAATAAGAAGAATGTTACCAACTGAATATCTCGATTGGCTAAAATCGGCATTTTCTTCTGTTACTTGGACGACTTTTCCTTTAAATTAGCAGATTTGTTCTCTAAATTGACAGATTTTTCTCCCAAATTGGCCGATTTTTTTTTTATACAAATTTAAAGTTGTTGTTTTTTTATTTGAAAGTGGCAGGTCAGTTGGGTCAGGTAAACTGACCCAAATTTGCTCAGGAAGTAATCCAGATTTACTTTTGTTAAATACTGATATGCTGGATTAAAGAAAGTTTTACTACTGTACCAGATTAGTGTAAAATGATAAAGTATAACACTTAAACCAAATAACGCAATTTATAACCAACCTAAGTGAAATATATAACCAAATACAGCAACCTGTGTATCTAAAGAAATGATGAATCATTTCCATTTCTTTCTTTGGTTTCTTACTCTAATATCTTCTAACTTTAGAATCTATGTTTTTTTAAAAACAATTTATGTTTAACTAAACGAGTTTTCCCTAAAAATCGGAAAAGTTAAGCTTAACCATAACCATAACGCACTTTACTCTGCAAACTCAAATTTTCTTTTAAATCTAAATATTTTTTTTTTTTTTCGTTATGTTTTAGTTTTACATATTATCAATTGTGTTACAGAATATATTTTAATACAATATATTTTTAAACTAAAATTTTCTGATCTCTATTTTCTTTCAAGCTAAAAGTTTGTAAACCTAGGTTATTTTTAGTTTTAAATTATCAACATCACGGTTCAAGAAAAATTTCTGGAAGCGTTTTGTTCATTTAAAATAAATTTTAAGAAATTTAAAGAAATTTAAAGAAATTAAGCAAAAATTCTTTTATTGTTTCAAATAAAGTTTTCAATTAATTCCATTAAAATAATTTTTTTTCTACAGTTGGATCGAGTGCGTGAGAAGTACATGAAGCTGCTTAAATCATATATAAAGATGGATCCAAGTAAACCTGGTGACAAGTTTTACAAGCTTATAGACCTTCTTCCTCAACTTAGGTAACCAGAGATATAATTTGAAATGCATAAATCAGGGGCGTATACAGGATTATGGAAGGGGAGTTGGCTCAACCATGACTAACTTTCTGAGGGGTGGGGGCTGGCTTATCATTCAAAATATCACGCCTGATAATTATGCTACTTTATTTTCTAATCATTAAATATAATTATTTTTTGGAGATGTAATTTCTAGATTTCATTTTTCTTGTTGTAGGAAGTTGAATGTGATAAACCAGAATCAGACGGCGGGATTCAAAATTAGAAACCCGAAGTTTCCACCACTCCTGGCGGAGTTATGGGGGGTGGAACTCCTCTCATAGATCCAGACAGATTCTCTGCTCTATTTTATACATTAAGTAATTATGACCATGTTTTTAAAAAAGTTAATTGATACAGGTGTAGTCATAAAATCCCCCATCTCCATTGAATTTTAAACTATTGTACTGTATACCTAGTAGAGTATATATATATAGCCTGAACTGTACAAATCTATATATTATATGTACCTGAATTGTACAAGTGATGTTGTACCGTTTTATTTTGAAATACAAAAACTAAAAAATTATCTGCTTTGTAAGCTTGACAATGAAACATAAAAAAGCGAAATGTTTAAGTTGTTATTTTGACTTCTGCGGAACTGATTTTTAAATGAAAATTGTCCAGAGATAGGAACCATTGTGTTATAGTGTTGTTAATCTTGAATGCTTGATTTTGCCCTCAATTTAAGTTATCCCTGATATGCGGGGAATAAACACCAATAACTATCCAGAGATGGAATTTAAAGAATTTCAGCCGCGGTTTAAATCCGCCAAAACCCGGTTTAAATTTAGCGCCGGCTTAAATCTTGAAACATTTGATACAATTTTAAGTGGAACCAACCATATTTCAACCGCGGCTTAAATTTAAACCGCCGCTCAAATTCTTTAAATTCGGCCACAGAAGGAATTAATTAATTTATAGGTCAGCAGAAGAAGATTATCAATGCTTGATCCCGAGATTCCCAACTCAAAAGTTCCGACAACATTTTCACAGATTTCAACACCTCTTAAAATTTCTTAAATTCAAAATTATTTGAAAACGAAACTTTTCGAATGTAATTTTTTTTAAAATTCATAATCGAAAAATCTCTTGGTTTTTCAAATATATTTTTTTGAAGTAATAGATACATAACAATTAATTTAATAAGATGATTACAGAATTGAAATGTACAAAGTTGAGTTGCTTCGAATAAAATTTAATTCAAATGAATGTTGCATTATCACTGAAAAACGTAAAGAATATTAATAATTTCCTATGTTACAATGTACGTGGAGCCAGTTTTGTTGAAATTTTGATTATTAATTTATTAATGGACTAAAATTAGCAGGTTTTCTTCCACATTGTATTTTCCACATCTGAGGGTCACTGTAAATCCATTTGGTCAGCACCCACTTGTTCCCATATAGTACAGGGCAACCCATGTGAAACATTCTGAAATGTATTACGTTTAATATTATCCAGGTATGGCAAAACTGCTAAAAAACTATAAATAAAACAAGAGATCCTCAGAAGCTTAATTAACTGCCTCTTAAAAAAAGTACAGGGTGACAGTCAATAAACTACTTGCATATCGGTATTTATTAGTCAACTTATTTCTACAACTGTATATTCTTGATACCAAATCATTATATATTTCATATCAAAAATTTCGTTTATTTCGTAATTTTGTAAATAATTGTAAAATTTGGTTGATGAATGAATACTAAACATTATTATGTTTCGTGGGACACCTTGTATCTTAATAAAGCTTATTAGTTTCAGTTCAGTTATTTGCCCATTGCACATAAATCAGTCTTAAAATGCCTGGCTTGTAAAAGGAGAGATTTGACTTAAAAATGTTAAGAGACCTATAAGACCTGCAACTGATTTCCCGGTATTCTTCATGTGAGTTGAGTATATCTGCTGTCATATTTTTCATGTGAGTTGAGTGTATACCTGCTGTCATAATCCTCATGTGAGTTGAGTGTATACCTGCTGTCATAATCCTCATGTGAGTTGAGTGTATACCTGCTGTCATAATCCTCATGTGAGTTGAGTGTATACCTGCTGTCATAATCCTCATGTGAGTTGAGTGTATACCTGCTGTCATATTCCTCATGTGAGTTGAATGTATACCTGCTGTATAATCCTCATGTGAGTTGAGTGTATACCTGCTGTCATAATCCTCATGTGAGTTGAGTGTATACCTGCTGTCATATTCCTCATGTGAGTTGAGTGTATACCTGCTGTCATATTCCTCATGTGAGTTGAGTGTATACCTGCTGTCATAATCCTCATGTGAGTTGAGTGTATACCTGCTGTCATAATCCTCATGTGAGTTGAGTGTATACCTGCTGTCATAATCCTCATGTGAGTTGAGTGTATACCAGAACAAAGCTGAACCTTGCTCAGGGTTGACAGATAAACCTAGTCCAGGGAATACAGTTCGTCCTCCATACCCAACCTAGATATTCATTCATTTAAACCATTCTTGCAATCATCCTTTTATTCGAGCGTAAATCGCCTTTTTATTCTTATCATTTATCTCTTCATCACGTTTTTATTTTTTATTATTTTCTAAATTTAATTTCAAGCATTGCATTGTCATATGATGGATGAGAGTGAGACTAAACAGAAAGAAATGTAAACTGTAATTTTTAAGCAGTCTTTTAATGCTTATGATCGTTAATTTCTACATATATTTATTGATGATTCTTTATTCATATTTTGATACTAAAACTATTCTTACTTGAGAGACGTATCCCAAAAAAGTAGCAATCCTGGATCCACCTCTCCTCTGAAACATGAAAATACTTTGGGAAAAAGTTGATATTTTTAAATCTCCTAGGGGTTTCCTTTTTTAACCTTTTTAAATCATGCACAATAGGAAGACGACATGAAAGTCTTCTTATATGTATGTAATTGATGTTGCACAGTGCACATATCGAGCAAATAGTTTTACCGAAGCTTCTAAAAAGACTTTTTAAGAGAAATAGGCCCAGTGCAAAAAAAGTTGTGGATTTAAAAAAATTCGTTAATTTTTAACATTTAATAAAAATCGAATTTTGTTGGAGGCAAATTTTTGAAATTTTGATTATCTATAAACAACCTACTCTACAGGACATATGAAGTCCCACACAAAATTTGGGCCTGATCGGTTCAGTTGTTATGACGTTTAATAGATACAATTTTACAAACAAACAAACAAACAAACACCAAGACAAGCAAAGTATATATATAGATGTAAACACAAATACACTTTAAATTTTGATCAATGATAATTTTATTTAACAAAATTTAAGGAGAAATGTTAAATTTGGCTCCTGTAGTCCATCAAATTTACTGATGAAAATTTGACATTTCTTGAAGTGTCTTGAGTATTATTCATGATACGAGAAACAGGAAATAGCTGCATTCTCTGATTCAGTAGAATTTTATTTACTTTGTTTTCATGATTCCAGTAGTCCACATGTACTTCTATCTGCCCTCCTATTCCGTAGTTTATCAAACTATACTCGTCTAAAATATTAGGGAAAATCTAAAGATACTGATTATAACAACTGTCAATGTAATTTTAAGTGACACTAAATTTAAAAAGGGACTTTTTTGGAATTGGAATTCCAAGAGGAGGGGGGGCTGAATATTCCTTGACAATCATAGTTCTAACTTCTCCCATTAGCCATTCCCCTGTATAGTGTAGACGCCTCTTTTGACACATGTTGGCCTAAACTTTTGATATTTTAAACTGTGACTATTTAATCTGACAGAGTTAAAAGTTCGAAATCTGTAAGGTTCACACATTAAATTGCAATGATATAGGTATTAAAAAAACAAGATTTTAAAGTAATTGGTTTCCTTTTGGAAGTCTGCCAAAAGTTGATGGAAATTTGTGAAATGGTTCAATTTTATTAGATATTATTGCACGAAGAAAAATATTAGGGGAATCAATCAATACTCAAAACTATAATCATTATAAGGAAAAAAAGCTCTTCGCTGATATATATATTTACATATATTATTTGTCTAGCTGGCCAAACGGCTGGACCAAATTGGCGTAATTTTTTAGGAAACCAGGGTACCCTGGGGGGAACATGGGCTATTTTTTGATATTATCCAAACCTGAAGCCCATTTTTGAGTGTGAACAATCCACTTGGTGGCTAAAGAAATTCTTTTGGAAGACGACATTCCTAAATAATACTGTTAATGAAAATATAATTAATCTTATTTAATCATATGATTATTTCATAAATTCTCTAACTTAATGGTACGTTAAAGATTAACTGTTGACTATTAACGCATTATCCTTAAAAAATTCTCAACTTATAGTTTTCTGAAATATTTCATAAAATCCTAAATAACACCAGAACTTTTGTTTTATATTTCTACATTTAGTCAGATCTGTATGATACATATATATATTCCACAAAAAAACTGATTAGCTCATTTAATCATTACCTTCTTTAAAGCCGTCTTCTTTAAGATGTACTCGTTTACTGACTCGTTGCGTATTGTAGTACTCTGTTCTACCTCTTCCCTATACAAATGTAAAGTTTAAAGAAATTCAAAAGATAATATAATAGAAAAACAAAGAGGTTCTGTACTTGGAAGGTTCTCTACCTGGAAGGTTCTGTACCTGGAAGGTTCTGTATCTGGAGGGGTTTTGTACCTGGAAGGTTCTGTACCTAGAATTGCTTCTGTACCTTGAAATTTCTGTTCCTGGAAGGTTCTGTATTTGGAAGGTTCTGTAACTGGAAGGTTTTGTATCTAGAAAGTTCTTTACCTGGAAAGTTCTGTACCTTAAAGGTTCTGTTTCTGGAAGGTTCTGTTCCTGGAAGGTTCTGTATCTGGAAGGTTCTGTACCTGTAAGGTTCTGTACCTGCAAGGTTCTGTACCTAGATGGTTCTGTTCCTGGAAGGTTCTGTAGCTAGAAGGTTCTGTACCTGGAAAGTTCTGTACCCGGAAGGTTCTTTATCTGGAAAGTTCTGTACCTGTAAGGTTCTGTACTTGGAAGGTTCTGTATCTGGAAGGTTCTGTACCTGGAAGGTTCTGTTCCTGGAAGGTTCTGTACCTGGAAGGGTTCTGTTCCTGGAATGTTCTGTTCCTGGAATGTTCTGTACCTGGAAGGTTCTGTACCTGGAAGGTTCTGTACCTGGAAGGTTCTGTACCTAGAAGGTTCTGTACCTAGAAGGTTCTGTACGTACCTGGAAGGTTCTGTACCTGGAAGGTTCTGTACCTAGAAGGTTCTGTACCTGGAAGGTTCTGTACGTAGAAGGTTCTGTACCTGGAAGGTTCTGTCCTGGAAGGTTCTGTACCTGGAAGGTTCTGTACCTAGAAGGTTCTGTACCTAGAAGGTTCTGTACCTGGAAGGTTCTGTACCTGGAAGGTTCTGTACTTAGAAGGTTCTGTACCTGGAAGGTTCTGTACCTAGAAGGTTCTGTTCCTGGAAGGTTCTTTAACTGGAAAGTTCTTTATCTGGAAAGTTCTGTTCCTAGAAGGTTCTGTACCTAGAAGGTTCTGTACCTAGAAGGTTCTGTACCTAGAAGGTTCTGTACCTAGAAGGTTCTGTACCTGGAAGGTTCTTTATCTGGAAGGTTCTGTATCTGGAAAGTTCTGTTCGTATAAGAGTGTGTACTGCATATACCTGCCGCAGGGCTGGGCAACGTTCTTTTTACAAATGGCAGTTTTTCAAACCGTTTACGTACGGATTAAAAAAGGGAGAATGTGTCCAGCCTTAGTACCTGGAAGGGTGTAGATTTTACATTTCCTCTTCCTCTTTTCTTGATACTCTCACATTCACGAATAGTATAGAAATCTAGAAAATTTTTAATTTTCCCCTCATTTTTCAAAAACTTTGTGATAGGTCCTTGTGGGGTGTCTAAAGTCATCAACATTGGGTCGAGAAACTCAATTCTGGACATTTTAATCCATTTCCCCATGTCCTTATACCATTACCCCACTTTCCCACATTTTTCCCCTCCAAAAGGCCAAAGAATTTCCTTTTGATTTTATTACTCGAGATTTCTCTCTGACTTTTTGCATGCAGACCTGAATTGTGATCTAGTTTTTGAATCAAACACCAAAATGGGGGGGGGGGGGTTGTTTGATTGTGTGTTTGTCAATATCCAATAAAGGTACGTCAAAACTGTTGAACCGATCTAGCCCAAGTTTTTTTTTGCAATTTGTTCATCCTTAAAAAACTTTTTAAAGCAGTCCAAAAATGATTGTTATGTCAAGTTCTTATTGGACAGTTTTTGGACGGTTTTTTTGTCTCTATTTTCTGTCAGGGTCAAAATTTGTCACAATGTAAGCAAAGCAAATATTTCGAATAAACTATTAAAATACAATTGTTTTTCTTGAACTATTCCGAGTTTGGATCCTGAAATAAAAAAAGTCAAAAATCGATCCAATAACAACAAGGAAGAAACGAACATTACCTCTGAATATTCCAACTGGAGGATCTAGGTTCAAATTCTCTAGTTTAAAAGGACCAAGAAGCAGATAGGGATCCCTGCAGGGGTGTATAGATTGTATAAAGATACTGTATTACACCACTTTGTAAAGGAAATCTTTCCATGGGATATTTTCTCATTTGCTCTTGTTTGACCAAAAAATTGCAAAAAATTGAGTGTTTGGCACAAACTCGGATTTTCTAAAAACCATATTTTAACAAACCCAATGTCGTGGACCTTTTATATTTAAAATAATGAATTGTGTAAGATCAAATAATCTAAGTTTGAAATTTCAAAACTTTACACCATCAGGTTGCCGGATATGGGGCTTAGAAAATTTGAGTTTGTTGCAAAATTTGTAGTTTGGAAAATTGCAACTTTATGATCATTAGAAGTTCTTAAATTTCAGCTTATACCCCTTTCATTTTTTCCTTTACAGTCCCTTTAATCTTATTTCATATTAGGAAAATTTGGTCATTTAATCATTAATGCCTTAATATTAAATATCAATTATAAGAAATTTTTGGTGGGGCATACACCAAACGCACTGATTTCATCGCATCGGGAAAATATGGGAAGGGGGGATATAAAGTTAATTTATCACCTCCCTGTAGTGTATATAAGTACATTTAACATCTTTGTCTAAACTTGTTGATCTTAGATTTACTCCCTAGGGATATAAAATATCATAAAAAATTTCTACTTAAATTTAAAATTTTATTATAAAATTTCGTAAAATGTCCAGGAGTTTCAATATAATAAGGAGGAATTGTTTTATTAGATTAAGAGGCTTATACAGGGGGAACCCCCTGTATCAGTGCAATCTATGGTTTCCTTCCAGAGCCCGACATTTAAGACATGAAGTAAATTTGAAGATAGTAAAGTGTTTGTTCTAAAATTATCATACATAATTAGTTTAAATATTTTCTAGTTCTTAAAATGTACGGGAGTTCTAAGGGGCTCAGGCCTCAAACAAGTCCAAGCCCTGATTGGAAAAAAATGCAAGACCCAAGAAAAATTCCTGTTTACCCCTCTGATGTTACAAATACATTTAGTGAAGTGATTGCCAAAGCCATGAATAAGAATTCAATGAATGTTTACATTATTTATGTTGCAGTTCTAGAATTAATCAAGCTTCTCAGTCAGAACTAGTGTTTCCAGCCAAATGGGAAAATCGTTCCGCGAAAATTTCACAATTTTGCGCATTTTCTCTTTTTTCGCAAAATTTTTGTTCGCTAAATTTTGCATCGTTTTTACTTCCTTTTGCGAAATTCATTAACGCGAAAAACTGAAAAATTTCGCTAAAAATGCCTTTTTTTCGCTGGAAACCCTGTCTCAGAACACGGATCAGATAAAGGGCAAAACAAACGCTATTTCACCCTTCTTAGTAATATTCCTCCAAATGATTAAATTTTGTGAAAAATCAAAATCAAAATTAAATGTGTTTTTTTTCTCTCAATAGTTCTTTTAAATATTAATTACTCGCCTGGCAAAGTTGAATGGTTGTGTTCTGATTGTGAAACCACATTCGTTTAAACGTCTGGTCAAAACATTTTTATAAATATATTTTTAATGTAAAAATGTATTTCGTAAAAGAAAAGATCTCTAGGTAAATAACGTCTATCAAATTAGGATGTCGTCAATTGATGAAAAAATTAAATCAAATCATTTATTAACAAAACATAAGAATAGAAAATATGTCTTTTGCTGAAAATACTTTTTTAAAATTGTCATTTATTTAAGTATTCACAAGAGCAGTTTGTGTTGTTTAAATCTAGAGAGTTCAAGGTTGTTTTTAGTTGGATATAAAATGTTTTTAGTTGGATATAAAATGTTTTTGGTTGGATATAAAATGTTTTTAGTTGGATATAAAATGTTTTTAATTGGATATAAAATGTTTTTAGTTGGATATAAAATGTTTTCCTTTGAAAGATATTTGGTTTGTGTAGGAATCTCGTCAACTTTTATATCTTTATAAACCTGGATCCGGGATACCTCACTATATATATCTTTATAAACCTGGACCCGGGATACCTCACTGTATATATCAATTCAAACATTGACTTAGAAACTAGAAGAGATCAGTGCAACAAATTAAAGGTTTTATGTTTTTTTTTAAGTTTAGAGAGAGAAAAATCATTTGAATATTCTTATTTAAAATACCGCTCTATGCACGGATTTGATTTCAAATATATGTAAAATAAATTCAATTCTTTTGGGATAGAAACAGAGGGGGAACTCTTGTATTGTGTATATCGAGATCAATGCTTCATCTTGATCTTTTGTTAATTTAATCTTTATTCGATATTCCGCATGTTAATCGTACCCTGGAGGAGTAACTGAAATGAAGAGATTAAGCATTGATCCTGTTCAGTGGATACAGAGAATTAGCAATCGGAATTATGAGTACTATTCAACGTACAAAAGTTTCAAGCTCTGAGAAGTTTAAAAAAAATTCATTATTTGAAACTGAATCAAAATAAGTTCATTTTCAGCTTTAAAATGTTTGTGTGGTAAAAGATGAATATTTTGAGGGTTTTCTAAACTAGGGAACTTATGAAAAGAACAGGTACACAGGATCAACCCGGCCATATAAGGTTATAAGGTATAAGGTCCTCCGACCTCTATAATATCATAATAATGTTAATTTGAAATAGAGAATTACTTATAACTTACTATAAACAGATCCCAAAAAGATTTCTCCCAATTATCAAATCATCCGAAAAAAATGTTTTCCAACCGGTTAATTATTGACATAATTAATTTCAGTGAGAACCAGAAAACAATGACATAGGAAGACGACATTGTATAGATATTTAAGTATATTTGATGTCTTAAAAACGCAAATAATTTCACTAGACACTTATTACATCACTAATTTAGTGAAATTGGTCTGTTTACACTAGTGCAATTGCTGTATCTCATGTTAATTGAACTATTTAAAGATATAACTTGATTCTAAAAATCGTCTTCTTATTCCAGAGTTTCTGGCTCTCACTTTATATATCCCAGCGAAGCTAAATATTTAGATAAAGTAAAAAACCCTATCTTACCTAGCATGGCGCCTAAGACTGTCTTTCAGAACAGTCGATGGTTCTACTTCATGTTTCTCCGCTAGATGGGGTATATTTAGAGATACACGATAGGGAAATGTAAACACAGGGACTTCAGGTAGTCCATCAGGAGTTATCGTGGAACTTGATCCGTATCCGGATACCTACAAGAAAATCATAGAACTAGATCCGTATCCGGATACCTACAAGATAATCATAGAATTAGATCCGTATCCGGATACCTACAAGATAATCATAGAACTAGATCCGTATCCGGATACCTACAAGATAATCATAGAACTAGATCCGTATCCGGATACCTACAAGATAATCATAGAACTAGATCCGTATCCGGATACCTACAAGATAATCATAGAACTAGATCCGTATCTGGATACCTACAAGATAATCATAGAACTAGGTCCGTATCCGGATACCTACAATATATCCGTATCGTATAGCTATATTCTTATCCGTATCAGTACTTGTAGAATATGATCATCATACAGCTAACTGTAGTTTATACTCGGTACCTGTAGAATATGATCATGATCTCTAACTGTAGTTTATACCCTGTACCTGTAGAATATTATCATGATCTCTAACTGTAGTTTATACCCTGTACCTGTAGAATATGATCATGATCTCTATCTGTAGTTTATACCTGTACCTGAATAATATGATCATGATCTCTATCTGTAGTTTATACCCTGTACCTGTAGAATATGATCATGATTTCTAACGGTAATTTATACCTTTTACCTGTAGGATATGATCATGATCTCTAACTGTAGTTTATACCCTGTACCTGTAGTATATGATCATGAACTCTAACTGTAGTTTATACCCTGTACCTGTAGAATATGATCATGATTTCTAACGGTAGTTTATACCCTGTACCTGTAGAATATGATCATAAACTCCAACTGTAGTTTGTACCCTGTACCTGTAGAATATGATCATGATCTCTGACTGTAGTTTGTACCTTGTACCTGTAGAATATGATCATGATTTCTAACGGTAGTTTATACCCTGTACCTGTAGAATATGATCATGATCTCTATCTGTAGGTTATACCCTGTACCTGTAGAAGATGATCATGATTTCTAACGGTAGTTTATACCCTGTACCTGTAGAATATGATCATGAACTCTATCTGTAGTTTATACCCTGTACCTGTAGAATATGATCATGATCTATTTCTGTAGTTTATACCTTGTACCTGTAGAATATGATCATGATCTCTAACTGTAGTGTATACCCTGTACCTGTAGAATATGATCATGATCTATTACTGCGGTTTCTAAAAGCTTCCTTATTTTTCCTCTGCCATCATTTCCAGCCATTTTTACTCCGATTTGTAACCATTCAATCTTTAAATAAATAGAGCTCTTAAAACATTGTCATTAATAACAGAAAATCTGTTTGGTTAAATTGTGAATTCATATTCTTTAAAGCATTATTTGGTGTGCTACTGCATGGGTAACATTTGAGCCCTTACAAAAGCACTATTCATTCCAATTCATTTCATTAAATTCCATATTGTCATTTGCTTTTATGCATTTCATCTTATTCAGTTTAAAATCTGTTTCTACCTGTTTATCTAATCTTTGAACATAGTTTGCAATTTTAGATATTTCTAAAACATCCTCTAGATCCAGGGGTCTTGATTCCAGATCAGGACCTGCAGTACAGTACAGTACAGTACAGTACAGTACAATACAGTACAGTACAGTACAGTACAGTACAGTACAGTGCATTACAGTACAGAATAGTACAGTACAGTACAATACAGTACAGCACAGTACAGTACAGTACAGTACAGTACATTACAGTACAGTACAGTACAGTACAGTAAAGTAAAGTACAGTACAGTACAGAAGAGGACAGTACAATACAGTACAGTACAGTACAGTACAGTACAATACAGTACAGTACAGTACAGTACAGTAAAGTAAAGTACAGTACAGTACAGAAGAGGACAGTATAGTACAGAACGTACAGTAAAGTAAAGTACAGTACAGTATTGTCAACAAAGTTTTCAGAATTATGCTATTAAGAATTTTGTACGAAAAACTTTGTTAGATGAAAATTTGAACTTTTTTAAGCGCATTACATACATTATAGTATTGTTTAGAATAAACTTAAGAACGTTTAAAAACTTGATAACATTACCTCCAAATGGATTTCGAAATGTCCCATTTATCAAATCCTAAAACAAAAAGGGAATTGAGTTCTTGCCACAAACTCAATGTTTTTAATGAGTTTCTTTGTAATATATACTTCAAACCCTCCTGGAGATTAATGTTATAATATTACTGAAGGATTGGGATAGTGAACCCAGCTCCTCACCCTACTCTAAACCCTCCTGGAGATTAATGTTGTAATATATCTGAAGGGTGAGGATATTGAACCCAGCTCCTCATTCTACTCTGAACCCTACCTGGAGTTTAATGTTGTAATATATTTTAAGGATTAGGATACAGAACCCTGCTTCTAACCCTACTCTGAACCCTACCTGGAGTTCAATGTTGTAATATATCTGAAGACTGAGGATACCAAACCCTGCTCCTAACCCTACTCTGAACCCTACCTGGAGTTCAATGTTGTAATATATCTGAAGGATGAGGATACCAAACCCTGCTATACTCTGTAATTATAAGATGTATTTTCATGACTAATATTTTAAAACTTAAGGTTATTTTGGATTTAAAAGAAAATTTTGTGAATTTTCCCTGATTTAATTTTCTTCAGTTTCGAAGATTTCTGCAAAGATTCAACAAATTTCGGCCATTTCATCGCTGTCCGTTTAACCAGATGAAAACCGTTAAGAGGATTTTTCACGTGGGATAAACAATCAAATTCCTCTTCAGATTCTAACATCCAATCATACTCAGAACTCCTGAACAAAATCTTATTCCTCAAATTATGATGTATTTTTTTTTCAAGATGAAATATGGTTTAATCATGTCTACAGTCGTCGTATATATCAATACAATGAAAATGACTCTCTACCAAGCTTTCAAACAGCATGGATAAACAGGGTGTCCCATATTATATTAGATCGTGTGTACATTTCAAGGACTAATCAGAAAATTAAAAAAAAACATGAATTGTTTATTAAATATGTATAGGCTAATATAAGAATTTTCCTGCAGAAAATACCAGATTTTTATAATATTATGTGCATATATATTTTGGCGTTAAAGCTTGGAGATAATCGATCCAATATGATACGGAACGCTCTCTACATAAACACCGACTACTGTATCATAAGAATCATAAGTCAAATGAGTCCGCCTGAGCTTGTTGATAGTTTTCATTACTTACTTGAATTTAGAAAACAAGGTTTGATCTGAATTTTCCCCGCTTTGTTTGATAACATCTTCAAGTTGTACCAAAAGTCGTCTTTCTTTTTCACATAGGATGGAAAGATCGTCTGTAGACGCAGACACGTACTTTTCCAGTTTATATTCATCTGGTTTTGCATGCACTGCGGCTAGGGCTAACACCAGGGTTAACTGTAAATTTGACTTCATTGTAGTTTTCAATTTTTTTCTTTCTTCACTCAAAATTTTAGAAGAAAATATTCGAAAAAAAGTTTAAGTTTTTATTGGAAGACAGAACTTGAAGGAAAAGGAAACTTGAGATCGTAGGGGAAGTTAAAGATTGGAGGTTTGAGACTTTGCATTTATTTATTGGAGATTGGAGGTTTGAGACTTTTATTTATGTATTGGAGATTGGAGGTTGAGACTTTTCATTTATGTATTGGAGATTGGAGGTTTGAGACTTTTAATTTATGTCTTGGAGATTGGAGGTTTAAGACTTTGGATTTATGTATTGGAGAATGGAGGTTTGAGACTTTGCATTTATGTATTGGAGATTGGAGGTTGAGACTTTTCATTTATGTATTGAAGATTGGAGGTTTGAGACTTTTTATTTATGTATTGGAGAATGGGACTAGAGATTTGATGCGTGAGATGGATACTGAACATTATTAAACCTAACTCACTGAGTGTAAAATCCAGGTTTATACTGATTATTCTCCGTGTATATAATCCAACCTGTTGTATTACCTGTTAATACGTCCTGACTCCTGGTGTGCAATCAACCGAATATGGTTTTATTTTAATTTTATTAGAAAAATTTAAAACGACACTGGGAAGGAGTACACCTTTTAAAAAAAGAGAAAAAAGTCGCAGTCCACTGAATAATCCATTCTTCACAAGAGGACGCACAAATAAGAAATAAATACTCAAACCTGTACGTATATAAAGAGATGAATAAACAGATGTAATATTTGAAATTGATTCATCTGGGTTCTTTTTTTGGGTTTATAATTACAAAAGAGAAAAAAATGAATAAATGAAAGGATAAAAGAAGTACAAAAAGCTTAATTTTAAAAGGCTACTTTCATGAATGACAGATGTGGACGCATAACGTCATGATAGCAATAACGCACAAAAGAACTCTGTATATATGCGTACATATATGAATTTCTACCGTTTTCTACGAAATTTTAAGAAAATAAAGAGCTATTTAATTCAGAGTAAGTCCAAAGCAGTGTCCTAACAAAAAAAATGAATATAATTCGAATAAGAAAAAAAGATTTAATTGTAAACCTGTTTTTAATGAGTCCTGTTAACGCCGTTGAGTATTAAAATTGAGCTGAACTAGTTTTCAGATTAAAATCTTCTCACTTTGTCTCAGTTCTCAAATCTGAACTCCAGACTACAGAAATAAAAAAACTTTAAGTGTAGAAATATAGAAAGTAAATATTGTATTTTGTAGTCTTAAACAAACATTTAGTACGTCAAAAATATTTTTTTAAATTGTTTACTGTAGATTTAAAATTTTTATTATTTTTGAATTAAATGATAAGTTTAATTACTTGCATGCCAAATAATTTTAAAACTTTAAAATCATATTGTTTGCCAATTAGACATCATTAAGGTTGAGTCCCAGTTGTGAGAATGAGAAATAAATACAATTTTAAAATTGTTAAGACGTTAATCTGAGTTCAAATTTAATGCATTTGAGCCGCGTCTCAAATCCGCCAAAAACCGGTTTCAATTGAGTGCCGGCTTAAATCTTGAAACATTGAATACAATTTTAAGTGGAACCAACTTTATTTGAGCCGCGTCTCAAATTTAAGCCACGGCTCAAATTCTTTAAATTAGGGTATTATTTTTTAACCCATTATATGTGCTATTTTAAACTAATTATATGCCATAGACATTTTTGCATGGGAACTCCCAACTATGATAGAGAATTAAATAGGAGAGAGAGTTTTCTTTAAAAATGTTTAACCCAAGAACATCATATCTAAATGACGCCCAAGAAACGAGTACTTTCCTTGGGATTTAAAATCTTTATATCAAGAATTATGATGATAATACCCCATTCACAATAATAACTTTTATGTGATCCTAATGTAAAAGATATTGTCGTTTGTTTAGGTTTAAACGTGTTTAATTCTGATAATTTCTCAATGTTTTACTGCAGTAGAAATGTGCAATTCACTATTGTTTAGAGAAGCTACAGTATTGGTATATAATTTATACTTGATCAGACAAAGCTTTTTAGGGGTGCTGTTGTGAGCCTGTTAGGGTAACTTGAAATTACCCTTACAGCCCCTTGAACGAGATTTCATACACATTTATAAACTTTGTTAAATTCTGAACATAAATTCAAGTTTGGATAAATATGATAACATATCTCCATATGTTATCTCTGTTTAATAAAATTTAGTAATTCTCAGTTACCATTAACCCATCCTGCAGATATTGTAATTAAAACTATTAATAAATCCAATAAACATGTGAATACGTTAACATGATCTATTCATTATTTAGCCTCATGACTTAAATGTGTCTTTCTTCAGCAAAGAAAATGGCAACCCTGCAGTTCAAAGGAAAATCTCCTTATGAAGGTATTATTTAAACTTAACAGTGAACCATTTACTCCCAGAAAAATTAGAATAAATGAAAGTTTAAATCCTGGGTAATTCCATAATAAATTCGTAGCCCAAGGGATCCCAAGGGGGTTTAATTTTCATTGATTCTAATTTTTCTGAGAGTAAATGACAATCCTTTGTAGAGAGCTGGTTTTACCATGGAACTCCATTAATAAGTTTTTAGATTATAAAGATTTAATAAAAATTGTTATGTTCCAAAAACAGCTTTTAATATAGGAATGCAAAGATTGTCTCAAATTTTTGTTAGAATTGAAATTAATGGGAATGTTTAGATACTTTAAGTCGTCTCTTATTTTGGGTAACAATATGTCAGATTTACATAGGTGCTCTTCTTTATAGGTTTGTAACAATATCTGACTTTAAGTTTAAAGGTGTGTTGTCACGAAAACATGATGCTTCTGACTTTAAGTTTAAAGATGTCTTGTCACGAAAACACGATCAGGGGCGGACGAGGGCTTTTGTTTAGGGGGGGGCACACATTTTTTGGTCCCCCCCCTTGGCAACATTGGTCCCCCCCCTTAAAAACCCCTTTTTTGAAAAAATATTAATACCTTTTTTAAATTTTTTTTGCCCCCCCTCTCCCACCTGGACTTATTTTGTTCAACATAAAAATACACCAAAAAGACTACTTTTTTGGGTGTTACTAACCTTAGAGTCAAAAAATTATTCCTTTGCTTGAAAAACTAACTTTTTGACTTTATAAATTTATCACTTAACTCCATCACAGCTAACTAAATCAATAATCACAGCATAATTAAAAATTATATTTATACAAATAAACGAAATTTCTTCTGAAATTTTTAGATAGAATTTACTCAATTTACATTTTAACCAAATCTTTTAAGCTACAATTTTCTGGGATTTGCTTGCACAAACATTTCAATGATTTTTTTCAGTAGAGAGCTATGTCACGAAAACATGATGCTTCTGAATTTAACTTTAAAGGTGTGCTGTCGCGAAAACATGATGCTTCTGACTTCAAGTATGAGAGATATACAAACTTTTTCACTAAGGTAAATTTTAAATATTTAGGCATCACAATTTTTATCTAAATGTTGAAAATTAAAACAAACTTCATTGTGAACATATTAGTAACTATCTAAAGTGCCTGGGGTTGCCCAGGTTTATATTAACATGCATAGTCATAGAATTATTCATGCCGTTTACCTGCGCTTGGCATTAAATCATGATTTCAGCTGAAGTGGCGGAGTTGCTCCTGGAATTTCATTTTTTGTTTGCCTATGTCACCCACGGGGTACCCATATGTGCCCCTCAAGAAATTTCAGCAAATTTGTTTTGGCCAGTTAAAGCGAATATATATAATACAATATACATTCATGAGTGAACATCTTTATGATATACATGAATACAGAGGCGCGCCCATACAACAAAAAGACTACTGATTAGTGATTAATATGATCAAATCCAAGGTTTAAAGTAATCAGTTTTCTGAATTATAAGCATGGATATCTAATGAATACTTGTTCAGACAAAGCTTTTAAGTGTACCGTTGTACCATTTTTGCATGTAGGATCATTTTAAATTACGCTTACAGTCCCTTTAAGATTATTTTGTTAAGGATGTAATTGATAATATAATTGAAACGTCTTTAAAGGGACGTCCGTATTGCTTGACCAGAAATTCCACCAATGGCAGTGCAGTAAAGTGGTCACGTGATACAGGCGGAGACACGTGACCAGTATACTGCTCTGCCATTGGTGATAGTTCTGGTCACGTGATGCAAGTTTAAGATTTTCTAAATTTTACATATATGAACTTTCGTATGATTTTAACACAGTTTTATTTCAATTTCTCGAGACAGGAACATCAGATAAAACTTTCATGGGTCGCGATCAAGAGCTAAAGTGATTAGCTTTCAGCCTAAACCCCCTTTCATTTTTCCTTTACAGTCCCTTTAAACCATTTTTAATAAATTTCTCGAGACAGGAACATCAGATAGAACTTTTATAGGTTTCCAACAACTTCTTAAGTTTCAGCCTGTACCCCCCTTTATTCTACTTTAAGAGCCCCCTTAATATTATTTTGTTTAGGATATTGGATCTAGTTCTCCTGTTTGTCTGGCTCTGTTTGGTTTAGGAAGAGCAGGATCAATTCATCTCTCAAACATTATTGCCAGCCCTAGGCTCAATCTTAGGTCAGTTAAGTGGGATTAATCTTTTTGTATTCTTAAAAAGTGGGTCAGCGGAAGCACTTTTAAAAATCAACAATCGGTTTTTTCAATTTTTTGGAAGCATGTCGATTTGGGTGTCTAAAGTTGCACTTAAAACCACTGAATATTTCCTATTTGTTGGTTTTTTGAAAATGGAAAAAAATTGGTTGATCTAGGGTCAAAAAACTACTATTTTTAGATGACTTCGGCAAATTTCCGCTTAAAAATTCCGTTTTTGCCTATATATTTTTTTTTTATTTTTTAACCAATTTTTATGATTTTAATATTTTTTGATACCCATATCAACATATTTTGAAAATTTTTTTTGTCTGCACTGGTGATTTATTATTGTCCCATTTTTTAAAAAACTGCCAAATTGTCCCATTTTATAAAAACTGCCAAATTGTCCCATTTTATAAAAACTGCCAAATTGTCCCATTTTGTAAAAACTGCCAAATTGTCCCATTTTATAAAAACTGCCAAATTGTCCCATTTTACAAAAAGTGCCAAATTGTCCCATTTTATAAAAAGTGCCAAATTGTTCCATTTTATAAAAAGTGCCAAATTGTCCCATTTTATAAAAAGTGCCAAATTGTCCCATTTTATAAAAAGTGCCAAATTGTCCCATTAAAAGTGCCAAATTGTCCCATTTTATAAAAAGTGCCAAATTGTCCCATTTTATGAAAAGTGCCAAATTGTCCCACCCTTCGTTCATTAAAATCGTTCGTTCAGTTAAGAACTATCGTTTTTTCAAAAGTTTGTTTAAAAAGGTTCTTCCAGTAAAAAAATAACGTTTTTTCAAAGGTTTGGTAATAAAATCGTTCGTTCAGAAAAAAAAACGATATTTAAAAAATCTTTCGGAACATTCAGTAGAAAAACTATGGTTTTTTCAAGTTCGTTCAAGCAATTACAAATCGTTCGTTTTTGTTTTTTTTAGTTCGTTTTAAAAAAACGATAATTTTTTATTTCTCTGAACGATCCGTTTCCTTCACCCATTGTTCGTTTTTTTCTATCATTCTCAAAAACTTCTTACGTTAAAATAAACGATGCCAATCTCTATATACAGGGTTTACCACAAAGGATGAGACTTCAGAGACGACTGTTCATAATTAATAATGTTTGTTTCCTTATATTTATGATTCTATGCAATTGTATGCTGGGTTCTTTCTTTGCCATATCATTAAATATTCCATTAAAATACAATCTTCAGGACAAAAGACTTCATTTAAACCTTGAAAATCGTCATTTCTTTAAAGTCTCAGCCTTCAGGTCGTCGTTACAGTCTCATTCTTTCAGAGTAATACTGTTTCAATTAATGAATTTGTTCAACTATGGGACTCAGCCAGCCATTAGCTCTCTAGATATAGAGCCTGCTGCTGTTATATATATCATATACAATATCTATATACAGTGATTTGTAAATATTGAATTTAATTGCAGAGATTTTTCTGAAAATTTGATTTTTAATATTCAATTATTTAAGTATTTACTAGAATTTTCAAATCCAAAAAAAGTGATGAATTTTGTCCAGGTATATTGTAGAGGCGAACAAGGATCTATGGGAACCTGCTAAAGCTAGGCAGTTTATCTCTTTAACTTGGATAAACATTTTTTTCAAATAATCTAAAAAGACCCCGGAAGTCATTCCGCGGGGCTCATGGCGGCTCTGCACCCCATCCCTCCCTTCCTGCTTACGCTCTTAAACATTATTTATAGAAGACGACATACAAGCAGATGAATAGTTTTTAGCATTATAGGATAATACGAAGGAATAAAAGTGTGAATATTGAACTCCCTAATTAAAGAGTGTACCTGGATACAGATGGAACCTGAAGGATACAATGTTTATCCATCCTGACCAGGTTGATACTGTTTACCAGGATAAAGCGCTCCAGGTACACTGTGAAATAAAATGGCCTCCCCTAAACCCCTTGATTAATGTGTAAGTTAAATGGGACAACTTTTATAAAAAAGTCTAGTTTCTAGGTAAAGTTTGGTTCCCAAGCCACATCACATGTATGCTTTTATAGATGTTTCAAATGTCGTATTTTCTAATTATTTTGAAGTAAATGGGAACTTTTCACACCAAGGGGTAGGTTGGAGTACAGTTAAAATGCGGGTCGGTGTTTCAAAAAAATCAGAAATGGGTAATAATTTTTCTATTAATTAAGGTACAGGGCTAAAATTTATAAATTTGAAACTTATTTATATATTTTAACAGTTTCCCGTCTTTCTTTTTAAACTTTAAAAAAATCCCTCCTTGCACCTTAACCATCAAAGTAACAGATCTATTTTTTTAATTAGCAGGACTTGAAAAGTTGTAATTGAGACATGTATTACACTCTCCTATCTCAATTCTAAGGGCAAAATCATAAGGGGGGGGGGGGCGTCGAACAACCCTCCCTCCTCCCTAATATATATTAGACAAAAATATCCTAATCGGGATAGGGTTAACAGATGGTCAATAGATAATTTTTATTTGAGACACTATCTAAGCTTTTCAATCATAACTTGAAACTTGAGAACAATTTCTTTAGGCGTGTCTGATTGCCACACCTACGTTTACCCATGAGGGTTATATCCTGGGTAGCCTGGGAGCGGGCCTAGCTGTATTCAGTGAGAAACCTATAGCGGAGGATCCTCGTAGTACGGTCAGATGCTACCAGAAGGCTGATCAGGTAAATTGGGAATTGGAATTGTCGTCTTTTCCTGTAGGGTAGCCCAAAGAGAATGCAAACTTCAGAGAATACTGTTAAAAATGTAATTAGTCTTTTACTTACATTTATGACTTCTTTTAATGTAAAGGTTTTTAAATGTAAATTAAATAATCTTACAATGTAAAAAGACTTTTAAAGTTCCACTGGACTAATTTTAACAGCAATATATATTTCTTTAAGCAAAGAATGTCACCTTTTTTGTTCAACCCTGTACAACTCCAAAAATAAAATTTTTTAAATTTTATGTTAGGTTGGGAAACCCCTGTTCTGTGCGTTTAACAGAAGATTTGATCCAGCTTTTGCATCCATCAGGAAATAAATTATCAATTAGTTTAACAGAGATCAATAATTAAATATTTGATTTAACAAAAATCTATCAATAAATTAATTTGTTTAACAAAAATCATTGATCAATTACGACCAGAAGCGTACACAGGATTAGCCAAAAATTTGGCTTCCAGAGGGGTTTCATGTTCCAAGTAGAATTTTTTATAGTAAAATAGATTTCGAACTCTGCAATGTCTACTTTTTGTAAAATGTCCCATTAACATTTAAATATAAAAAAATAAAAAAAGTCTTTCTAATAAATATCTTTTTTATAAATTGATAACTCTGGTTGCCTAGATCCAAGGTTCGATCTGGTAAGGTTGGTCACGTGCAGATGATAAAGACGACCTCTAGAGATTCTCCTCTGCCGTCTCTTGATTATCTCAAGATCAGGAAACCAGGATTAAACAAAGAAAAATAAAAGTGAATTTTAGCTTTATGGTTCTAAGAAATATAGAGGGCTGTAGAGACGACTGTAAAGAATTTATTCTGTCTGTTTCCATGATATTCCATGATTCCCAGACTTCTTTCTTCCTTTGCCAAATCATTGAATAAGCAATTGAATGACTATAGTAAAGGCATAATATATAGCCTCATCCTTTGTACAAGTAATCCTGTATCATCGTTTCATTGGTCCCCAGTAGAGTAATCTATACATTTATTGCAATGATAAACTAGTATTTGGCGGAGCAATCTACCATTTATAATACTTTTCGCAGTTTATTTCGTTTAAAAAAATCCTTAACTCAAAAATATTTTACTTTAAAATCAGTTTTATATAAGTATGAGGCCTTATAATAATTTTCGTGGTACCAGGTGAATAATCTACTATTATTCCATCTTGATTCAATGATCTATCTTGATTTAATGATCTATCTTGATTCAATGATCTATCTTGATTTAATGATCTATCTTGATTCAATGATCTATCTTGATTCAATGATCTATCTTGATTCAATGATGATTCAATGATCTATCTTGATTCAATGATCTATCTTGATTCAATGATCTATCTTGATTCAATGATCTATCTTGATTTAATGAATTCTAACGGAGGATTTTACCAGCGGATGGTTTTTAAAAGGGGAATCTAACATTTCTTCATACTGTATTAATGAATTCCAGTTATCTACCAAAATTCTAATCCAGTTCAATGGTTTCCCAGTGGAGGAATCTACCACGACTGCGCAGTTCATGATATTGACATGATCACATGGGTGCTCGGAGAATATCCAACCCAGGTAATTAAAGGGACTGTGAGTGGATTTCAAGTGACCCTCTATGCAAAAATGGCAATGTCCGACTCACAACGGTATCCCTCAAAGCTTTGAATTGTGGTTTCTCTACAAAGAGATATAAAAACTTTTCAAATTTAAAAAATCGAAAATATCTTCCACATTATTAATCCGATATTGGTTTCAGGTGTATAGTTGTGAATCGGGCATTGTCATTTTTGCATAGAGGCTCACTTGAAATAACGCTAACGATTTCATATCCTCTACAACAGTCCCTTTAATTGATCTCATTAATATTTCACTAATATTTTATTTGATGAACTATCCCGTCTTGCCGCCTATATTTTGCATGCAAAGTTAACACTCTAGCTGCTTCATGTCGTCTCTATGAGTTTAGAGTATACAAGAAATATTTCTGTTTTCCGATTTTTGAAATATTTTAAATAATATTTGTTTACCGGAGTACATTTAGGTGTTCTCTGTAGCGACTGCTGAGATTCCTGAGATCGACGGAATTAACGATTTTGATAATGTTGCAATAACAATGAAGGTAGCTTTGCAACTTACAAATTGTTGACGGTTTATGGAATTAATTAATAGCGAGAAGTACAGGGTGTCCCACTAAACATGGAAGTATAGCAAGACGACTTGAAAGTCATCTTTGATATTGGAATTTATTTGTGAGTCGTCAATTTACTTTAACATTTATGATTCATGTAACAATAACCACAAAATTCTCCTAGTCCTTGCATTTCCAAAATATGGTCTGCTTTTTTGTACTGTTAATACTACTGGGGATAATAAGAATGACATTCAGATTTCAATTTTATTCATGAAATCAAAAATTGTCGAAATTCATTCCGGTCATATTGAAAGCACAATAAAGGTTATAGACTTTATTTTGGAAATGCCAAGACTAGGGGTATTATGTTATTAATGTTACTACTAAAATAATTTTTACGAATAAATGCAGCAAATTAATTTAAAGATAAAAGACCACCATATTTTTGTCTTGCTTTTGTTTCAAGGACACCCTGTTGTTGGATTATGTATGATTGGTGGAAGTAATTGGCTAGCGAATTTTTAGCTACACTGGTTGAGGATATTCATTCATGCAAACCTTTTTTTTCTTCTTCTTATCAACATAAGATTAAAAACAGCTTAACTTATAATTGACGTTAAGTAATAATGAATTCCACTTAGAAAAAAAGTTTAGAAAATCGTTTTCGGGTTTTTTAATGATTTTCTTTTGTTTTATTTCGTGAATGATTTTTAAAAATCTGAAATTAAGGAAAGCAAATTAATAATTTTATTTGCTTTAAGTATTTATTAAGTATCGAGTATTTTCTTCTTTTTCAATATTTTATTTAATAAACAGAACCAATTATATAAAACAAAATATCAAAAGAAGTTGAGTATTTGCCAAAAATCCAAATTTTTAGGTGTTTGGTATTTTTCTTATGGCGTTTTCTCAAGGTTGTCTTCCCAAGTGACAATTTCCCAAGTGTCAACTTCCCAAGGGCTGAGGCGCCGCAGGCTGGAATGGGGGGAGGGGGCGAGCACTGCGGCTAGAACAGACTTGGGAATTTGCCGCATGGGAAATTGCACTGTTGGGAAGTTGCCATTTGGGAAAATACCCTTGGGAAGTTGCCGCTTGGGAAAAATCCTTTGGGAGAGTACCCAACATCGAAGTCATAGTTTGCAATATTCAAGGTCTACGACATTGGGTTGCAAAGATATAGAGATTATAAAATCAGATTTTGTGGCAAAGACTCAAGTCCTTTATAAATTATTCTGACAATATTTCAGTTTCCGTCTGGAAGTATCGGGATGATAGATCTGTGTAGGTTCGCAAACTATGGTTACGACCAGGGATTTTATCTAATAAAATAATAGAAAATATTTAGAACAAAAGATGGTAAAAGTTGTTGTTTGAAAGGACTGTAGATGTTATTTTAACTGCAATATTTAATTTTAATTTTAATTTTAATATTTAATTTTAATTTTAATTTATTGAGTGGCATATTCGATTTAAAACGGTCTAAAGATTTGTATGATTAAGAGGCAAGACTGAAATATTAATGTTTTTCTCTTTGTAAATTATTTTTCCTTTATCTTTATCTTTTAAACCTTCTTCCTTAGTCGTTTTAATTCCCATATTTATTGGGATTAAATTGCATTATTCTTTTCAAATAATTTCCTAAATTACACGCGACATCTTTTTTGGATATTTAAAGATTAATTGACAAATGAAAACTCTTAATAATAGGCCAATAAGTGTCTTATAAAGCTGTTCTCTTTGTATAAAATGAAAAAGCATAAATAAAAAAGAAATAAACTAATAAAAATAAATCGACCAGAGACTTGAAGTTTTTGGACATGAAGGCATGCTCCATGCACAGAATGATACTCCTAACAAAGCAGGTAGTATGTAGTATGTAGCTTTTAGTGTGCAGGGTGTAGTGTGTAGTGTGTAGCTTGTAGTGTGTAGTGGGATGTAGTGTGTAACGTGTAGCGAGTAGTGTAGTGTGTGTAGTGTGTAGTGTGTAGTGTATAGTGTGTAGTGTGTAGTGTGTAGTGTGTAGTGTGTAGTGTGTAGTGTGTAGTGTGTAGTGTGTAGTGTGTAGTGTGCAGTGTGTAGTGTGTAGTGTGTAGTGTGTAGTGTGTAGTGTGTAGTGTGTAGTGTGTAGTGTGTAGTGTGTAGTGTGTAGCTTGTAGTGTGTAGTGGAATGTAGCGTGTAGTGTGTAGTGTAGTGTGTAGTGTGTAGTGTGTAGTGTGTAGTGTGTAGTGTGTAGTGTGTAGTGTGTAGTGTGTAGTGTGTAGTGTGTACTGGAATGTAGCGTGTAGCGTGTAGTGTGCAGCGTGTAGTGTGTAGTGTGTAGTGTGTACTGTGTAGTGTGTAGTGTGTAGTGTATAGCTTGTAGTGTGTACTGGAATGTAGAGTGTAGCGTGTGGTGTGTAGCTTGTAGTGTGTAGTGGAATGTAGCGTGTAGCGTGTAGCGTGCAGCGTGTAGTAACGTGTAGTGAGTAGTGTTTCTAGCGTGTAGTGTGTAGTGTGTACTGTGTAATGTGTAATGTGTAATGTGTACTGTGTAATGTACATATATGTTATTGATAAGAGTACTGTACTGCCGATGGTTCAAGTCAGGCTCCTATGTATTACTCTTTTCCATCAAGGCATGCTGATGGTTACATTAGGTAAATATACATAAATTTCTTTTTAACAAATTGGGAATTTGTTCTTCTTTATATTTATTTACAAATTATATTGTAGTAATTGATACATTGGTCTTCACTTTATTTTACTGTGTTTTGCATTAGCAGCATAACTTCCCTCATGATCAAGGCTAATATGCAATTTGATGAGTTAAAACTTAAAGGGACTGTAAAGGAAAAATGAAAGAGGGTATGTATAGGCTGAAAGCTAATCACTTTAACTCTTGATCGCGACCCATGAAAGTTTTATCTTATGTTCCTGTCTCGAGAAATTGATATACAACTGTGTCAAATTTATACGAAAATTGATATACATACAATTTTGTATAAAAGTAGTGGGTTTAAATAGATCAAATTCAGCAAATAAGCAACCAATCTGAAAACGACGATATCCCTGCATAGGAGCCTTAGAATCTCAGAAACTCCCCTTAAAGGGACTGTAAAGGAAAAATGAAAGGGGGATTAGGCTGAAAGCTAATCACTTTAACTCTTGATCGCGACCCATGAAAGTTCTATCTGATGTTCCTGTCTCGAGAAATTGATATAAAACTGTGTCAAATTTATACGAAAATTCATATATGTAAAATTTTGAAAATCTGAAACTTAAATCACTTGACCAGAACTATCACCAATGGCAGAGCAGTATACTGGTCACAATGAGATAAAACTAGATATAAGAACTGAGCATTCACCTCAAACTCTAATCTAATCAGTTAAAACTAGATTTAAGAACTGATTATTCACCTCAAACTCTAATTTAATGAGTTAAAACTAGATATAAGAACTGATTATTCATCTCAAACTTTAGTTTAATCAGTTAAAACTATATATAAGAACTGATTATTCACCTCAAACTTTAATTTAATCAGTTAAAACTAGATATAAAGAACTGATTATTCACCTCAAACTCTAATTTAATGAGATAAAACTAGATATAAGAACTGATTATTCACCTCAAACTCTAATCTAATCAGTTAAAACTAGATATAATAACTGATTATTCACCTCAAACTCTAATTTAATGAGTTAAAACTAGATATAAGAACTGATTATTCACCTTAAACTCTAATTTAATCCGTTAAAACTAGATATAAGAACTAATTATTCACCTCAAACTGTAATCTAATGAGTTAAAACTAGATATAAGAACTGATTATTCACCTCAAACTTTTTCCAGGGAGCTTGAGCATTTTCTGGATGTAGTGCAGAACAATGAAGAAATGTCAGTCACTGATAGGTACATTTGCAAATTTGCCTTGATGAATTTAAGGTTTTATATTAAATGAAAATGTATTTACATATTTCAAAAAGATAACCCGGCGATGTCCAGGTCGATATTATAATTCATTTTCATAGTTACTTCCGTTGTTTATTCGCGCTTGGTTTTAAATTATGGTTTTAAACTGAAGTGCTCTGCGTTGCCGGTGGAATTAAAAATAAACAAAAATATTCCGAATGTTAACTGAACAAAAGAAATTGAACAAATAAGTAAAAAATTATGAACAAATAAGGAAAACAAAATACAAAAACTAAACAAACCATGGGATACGTCACAAAAACCAAAATATCTTATATGTTTAAAAAACATGCTTTCTAAACTAAATTAGGTTCAATTTTATTTTGTATTCATATCATTTTTTTTATTAATAATTATAACTAACACTTTTGTCAAAAGATTTTTAACTCCTGGTATTAACAAAAAAAAAAGTATTTTAATCAATTTTTCCTTTATTGAGAGTTTTAATTGAAATGTTGCGCATTATTTGTTACAATGAACTAATTAGCATTAAAACAAAATATTTTATATTAGAACAAATAAACTTTAGATTGAGAAAAACAGTTGGAGTTGGGTCTAAGAATGTAAACAATGATAAAAACTTGAATATTTAAATGATTTTAATATTTTTTGTCTATCACAGGATGACAGCAGCAGTTTCTAAGATTGCTGATGCTTGCGAGGAATCTGCCCGGGTAAAAATTAAAAAATGTTAACCCACCCCCTTTTTCCGGCCCGCCCCTTCTTCCCTCCCTTTACCTCCTCACTCTCCGAGGGAATTTATTATTTAACTATTTGGAAAGAAAACTGGGAATTTGACTGTTCAACATTTCCAAAAACCAATAATTCAACTAAAACTTTGTGATTAAAATATTTAAAACAGAAATTTTCTTCCGTAAAACAAGTATTAACCCTGGTCAATGGTTCACGTTGGATCAGTCAATATTTACTTAAAATGCCAATTTTGTGTCGATTGCTCTTTGTGTTTCAAACAGTTATAACTCAAATCATTCAAAACTTTGGTTATCTGACTTATCTGTGTAAGAAGTTTAATTGAAAGAAAGTTTTAAAAAGTTCAAACTTCTTTTTTACCCCCTTTCATTTTCTGGGTTCATATTTTAAACAAACCTTTTTCAAAACAATTTAAAGAGACTGTACTGTGATTGCCAGTGAACCCCCCCATTTGCGGAGTGACATGTCTGATTCAATACCCCCTCCCCATCTTTAGAGTGATATGTCTGATTCAATACTCCACCCTTATTAATAAAGTTTTTTTTAAACCGTAAATCTGGAACACTGACCTAAGTTATATGTTTTATTTGAATAGAGTGGTAAACCTGTACAGCTGAACTGGACGGTGCAAGAGATTCCTAAGGGTTATGTACAAGTTTAGCTTTACACTGTACACTGTACATGATGTATGATGATGTACAATGAATATTTGTTTGTTTTGATGCTTAAATAAACATTAAAAGTAAATTCTATCAATTCTATAAATGAATATGCAAATAAAACTAATCATATTTTTATTTACTCAATACTCTGTACATATTGTACACAGTACAACATCTTTTACTATGTGTGAGTGATTTGAATCCCCCCCCCCCTCCCCATCCACACTCAAATTACACCCTCTCAAGTACATACTACATGTTTGAGACGAATAAAAAATAAATCAATATGCATAGTAATCGAAGTAATTTTTATTTAAAATATATGAAATAAAGCATTTAAATGCTTAATAATTGGTTTCTGGTTGGCGTCTATTTTACTTAATTCAGACAACCACTGTTGTTTAACAATTCTGAAATGATAAATATTTTTAGAAAATAAAACATTTCACATTTTAAAAGAGAAGATTTGTATCTAAAAAGTATAAAAACTGCCATAATTTGTCAATTTTTTTTTCTAAGTCTTTTTCTCCCTCTTTTGTCCTAAATTTTCTTTGTTAACATATGAATAATTATATTTATATTAATATTCTTTGCAACCCTCTTATATTTTAAACTAGATGTTAGATTAAATAATCTGAGTTTAAAATATCAAAGGTTTACACCTTCAGGGTGCAAAGATATTGGGATAAGTCAATCGGAGCCTACCTATGGATAAATTATACTAGAAATCTACCAAAAAACTCCCTGAAATTAGTACAATAGTGTGGGCAATTGATTTCCTTCGTTTTCAAGACTTTTAAGGTTTTTGGACTTTTAAAGGTTCCGCAACAGGTTCCATGAACATTTTAAACATTTTTTTAAGTTTTAAAATTTCTTTTCTTTTAATTTGCTTTTCTTACACTTGATGAAATTTTAATCCTGCTAGAAGATATTTGCATAAACGAACCGAAAAACGAAACGAAAAACGAACTCAAAAACGAACCAAAAAACGATCGTTTTTCAGTCCGTTCTAACAAATATATTTTTCCTCAGGTTAAAACCCAACTTTTCTTGGAAATATTGAAAATTTTAAACCCAGCTAAGAATATTCCCTTGCTTTTTACAAGTTTCCTAATACAAATTTGAGGCAAATTGGCGAAGGGTTCCTGAATTCTAAAATGACCTACAAACTATCAGACAAACAGAGATTACTACTCAATACTGTAAAAAATATTATATATTTTATAAAGCGTTTATAAGGGTTTATAAAAACAGAGATCGGAAATATTGACTGAATATTGTTAATCTTCAACACTTGATCTTGAGATCTGATGGGGGCACTTTTAAATTTGAACTAAGATTAATGCTTGATCCCTGAATGAATGGTATCCCTGAAGGGAATGAATATAACGGGATACCGGAGAGGGATTGAATTAACCCGTAGGTCTAAGATGATCACTGCCGGCCTGATTCATAACACAGAAGTTCTCACTTCAGAGCCGAATTAATTTAAATAATTTGAACCTCGTCTAGAGCAGGTTCAAAAATGAGACGCGGTTTAACATGGTTGGTTAAACTTGAAATTACAATCAGTACGTTTTGATATTTAAAACGATGATTGGCGGTTCAGCGACGCTGTTCAAATTTATTAAATTCGGACTCAGGTCAATTTTAATTTTACAATCTCTCTCTCTCTCTCTCTCTCTCTCTCTCTCTCTTTCGTTCTCTCTCTCTATCTATCTCACTCGCTCTCTATCTATCTANTCTTGATAAATTGAATACAACGTTGATAATGTTTATTGTTGCAGTTATATATATGTAAATATAAATTTATTTACATATATTCAACGATTCAACATTTTTACAATATCCAATACTGATGTTGAGAGAAGTAGGATCCTACAGGGTATAATACGTTTGTCATTTTTGCAAAAAAACAAGAAAGATTTATCCCTGCACTGAACTACTTGACGAAAAATTTAGATTTTTAGCAATAAAATCTTTGAAAATGCAAACACCGGAATAGTTTCACAGGGATTATATGGAAAATAAGCAAAGAAGTATTTCACCGGTTGAACAGGGGGGTATATATTTTATAAATTAACATTTTTATCTTGTTGAGAATTTTCCAAACTAGTTTTTTTCTTTAAAAACATTGATGAAAATACATACCCCCCGTAATAAATAAAAGTTAAATATTATTTAATAAAATGGAAAATTATTAATTTTGGGATAAAATAAATCTGGGTAAAAGCTATTACATTAGTATTTTATTTGATTGTATTATGTATTGTATGGATGGATGAAATGTACTGTAAATATTGTACTATATACTATTCAAGTTTACATGAACCAATGTATGTACATGGGGATTAGCTTAATGCCAAGGAATCATGGTTTTGATTAAATGTTTGATATTGAATAGACAAAAATGGGATTACAACTTTCTGACGTAGGACTTCTTTCTTCCTCCAACACTTCCCTTGCTGCTTTTCTCAACTTCATATCTAAACATTTTAAAACTAGTTCATTTTTAGTATGCAGGGTGTCCCAGAAAACATTTAAATAATATTATTCTTTTACATAGGTCTAGAATTTGTATCATTTTACTTTTAACAATACAGTTTAAGATTTTCAAGAATTTTTGAAACAAATGAATCGAAAAAAATATATAAAATAAAGCCAAGATTATCGTTTTTTACTATAAAAAATTAAAGTTTCCAAATCAGGTTTCTAGAACATGATAATACGGAGTACGGTATACAATACAAAAATACAGTTTACTACATTGATTGTTAATTGTTTGTGTTTATAAATATTTAAGTCATATAATATTATTTCTTGTCACGCAGAAGTAATAACTTGCACAATTGATTCAAGATTACGTCAAAATGAATTTCCAGCTTTTAAATATATATCATACTAGCTTGGGAACCCAGCGTTGTAAAGACTAGTACTCATGTGTTACCCCCGCCGTTTACCCGCATTGGTCGTAAATTACGATTTTCGTTATTTCTCACTATTAAAGTCGACCCACTCAAACTAGAATCGTAAAACCAAGCTAAGAACATTCCTGTGGTTTTACCGAGCTCCCTATTCTAAATTTGAGGCAAATCGGTCAAGGGGCTCATGAGTTATGATCGGACATATAAACAAAGAAACAAACAGAGATTACTAATTTATATATAGATATATCTACCTATTTCCTCCTTTTTTGAGACACTCTGCATGTTTATCACAGGATTCAGGGGCGACAAGTGCCACAGCTTCGGCAAACAATTGCGGATTTTCTTTCTCCATCGTCTTCCATTTAGAATCCTGGTTAAAATCATTATTATGAGAAATCATGGTTTCTTAGGATTTTTTTCTTCTCTTATTTTTTCTTTTTCTGCCAGCACAAATTTTGTCATAGAGGTTTCAACATTTGTGGAAATATATATTTTTTAATTACAATTTTTTAATGATAATAAAGACGCAATTAACCACCAGTAAATAAAAAAAAGAATGATAAAAACAAAAAAGTATTTTTTTAAAGGAAAGCTGTGCCATGCAAAGATAATGCCTGATTTACAACGGTACCCTTAAAAACTTTGTCTGATTAAGTATGAAGTTCATATGCATGTTTAAACTGTTTATTTTCATGCGCATTTCTTGCTTATAAAACACAATGGAAAAGATCACAGAAATAAACATTTTATGAGTCAGAAAAGAGACGTTATCGTCCGCATTTTTTTATCAGATAAGGGTCCGGTTGTAATCGGGTATATTGTTATCTTTACATGGAGGGTCATATTTTTTATAAATAGATTATCAATTAAGATTTACCTTTATGATATATGAATGGTTTTCTCCACAATATGTGAGAGCAGATCTTTTTAGTTCTTTACATGAATAGTTCTCCGATAGTAGAAGAATATCAGATACGTTCAACGGGTTCATAATCTCTCCTAGATGCTTCTCACAGTGGTGCTTCAAGCCCGGTAACTTAATTGGGTTTAAACATTAGAATTCAAGTTTGTTAACATACATATTTAATTTTTTATTTTAAATTTGTTTTTGACAGAATTGAGAGAATTCAAGCTGTCATCGAAGCAGCATATGTCATCAAATTGTAAAAACTAAATTATTAGTTTGTTAGATATACAGTGTGTTCCACAAAACATGACAGTTGGTGAATAGTTTTGAATGAATTCTTCCATATACTGTATTACATATTAAAGATTTTTTCAGTTTATTTTGTTGAAAAATATTTAACTCAAATATATTTTATTTTAAGATCAATTTTGCAATTATATAATTGCCTTATAATATTTCTTTATCATTCTCTTTGGTATCTAACAATGTATAACAAATTATAGAAGAAGACATTTTAAACTATTCACCAACTGTCATGTTTCGTGCGACACCCTGTATACTATTGATTATACTGTATTTTTTTCTCTTAAATCATAAAAAAGTGACAATTAACTTCTATTTTTTTGGACATGAAGATATCTAACTCATTAGCATGCATTAGAATGCCGCGTAGATAAAAGACGACTTTAGATGAATATTTGGTTTAATCAATACCTTGTATCTATCCGAAGCTGCCAGCAAGGTTTGTGAAAATAATTCCACATTATGTGAACTGTCAGTGTAAATATACTTCAGTAGTTCCTCTACTGTGTCACCTGGAAAATACAAATTTTAAAATGACATTAAAAATATATTTTCATATAAAAATTCAGACAGAAGAAATATCAAGTGAGTCTCTATTTTTAAATTTAGATGCCCTGTTCTTGACGCTGACCGTTCAACGTTTATTTAAGTTACAATGAGGAAGATATCGTTGTTTTCCTTTCTTGTAAGACTTGTCAATTTCTCTGCCGTACTTTTATATGGACAAGTAACTCTGTAAAGGAGGGTCACTTGAAACAACGTGGACAGTCCTTTTCATGTAAATATTTACAAACCTGGGAGATCATCAATGACTAATTTCTTCATGGATTTTTCTTCCATTTTAGAATCCTTTCTTCTTTCCTTTTCTTCCACTTTGGAGTCCTTTCTTCCTTCCTTTTCTTCCACTTTGGAGTCCTTTCTTCCTTCCTTTTCTTCCTCTTTGGAGTCCTTTCTTCCTTCCTTTTCTTCCTCTTTGGAGTCCTTTCTTCCTTCCTTTTCTTCCATTTCAGAGTGGTTTCTTTCATCTTTGGAGTATTTCTGTTCTTGTTTTCCGAAATCCTGTTTTCTCTCTGTTCCTTCAGTCCTAGTTGTAGTCTCAGCTAAAATTTGTCCTGATTTCTCCTCTCCACTTTCTTTCCTATTCACAGCCTTTTGATTTGATATCTTATCATTTTCTTCCACAACTTTAGTTTCCACCGTCCCCTCTGTGTTTGCCCCCTCCTTTTCTTCTATTTGGTCAATTTTATCAAAACCAGTCTTATTTTCCATTGATTCTTTTTCAACGATTAAATCATCTTTTTCTACAATACATGCTTCCTTAGCTTCTTCTTCTTTCAACATATCAATCTTTTTGTTCTTGTTCTCCTCCTCCTTCTCCTCTTCTTCTTCCTTCTCCTCCTCCTCCTTCTCCATATCCTTGTGCTCCGAGATGTAGGACAGCTTGGTTCCCTCTTCTCCGACATGGGCCGAGGACTGATTATGAATGAAAGACTGGTTTGAGCATAAGAATGAGCTTGTTTGGTAGGACGAGGTTGCATCTGATTCTCTGATCTCCTCTTCTAACCTAGCCAGCAGATCTGCGAATACAGGAGACCGAGCAGCCAAGATGTTTCTATGCACCATAAATTTCCTGAAAAAAAAATATTTTTTTTGAAGGAAAGATCATTTTCATTTTTAATGTATCTCAAGAAAAAAATATCGATTTCTACAGATTTGTTGTATGACAAAATACATTTTGAGGGAGAAATAATAAAAGGAATTTCTCCTTAGGAATAATTCACTTTCGAAAAAAGTCTATTCATTGGTTATTTTTCAGTCATGATCCATCTCAAATTAATATTTCAAATAAAATTACCTCTCCCCGGCCTCAAGGATAAGATCGGAGGATTTCTCATCGTTGATTAGCGAACCGAGGTCAGAGGATAAACTGTGTGCAGCCTCCTCTTCGCGGATAATAGACAACCTTGAACAAATAAATAAATAGAGTTTATTATATAAAATGCGAGGATTCACACTGAAAGGGACCGTTCACTTTTTTGGGTAATTTCATGGTACTCTAATTAGCCGATTAGCTGTTCATTGGTATTAGTTAATAGATTTACTTTCCAAAGATATCAATGACCGGAAAAAAGTCGATTTATCGTTTGGAATTCCAGCGGAAAGGTATGATACCTTTGCATAGACACTATTTAAACGTTTTTTCAGTAACAACAGTCCAATATAATCTAAAATTATCATATTCAAATGAAATCATGTGTCTCTTCAATAAATCACGGGGATTAATGGAGACGTACAGAAGACGCATGAAACCATCAAATGTTTAGAAGAAGTTATATTTTGAAAATAGACAATTTAAAAATAATTTTGAAAAAAATATAAGATATCTACCATTAACTCTTAGATACTGCAATTCAATTTAATATTTGAAATTTTTTAATCCATCAAATAGTGTAAATGAAAAAGTATCATACCTTTGCGCTGAAATTCTGAATAATAAATCGACTTTTACTCCGGTCACAGTACGTTGTCTTTGAAAAGTAAAACTTATACCAATGAATAGCTAATTGGCTTTTTAGTTTAACCTCAAATTACCAAAATAAGTGAATGGTCCCTTTACAGATCGCAATCTTTAGGGAATCTCAATTTGTAGTAGAGTGGCATGTTCAACGCACAGCGATACTGTCTCTGATCAAGGATGAGTTATTATTTTCGGACTAAAAATTACGTATTTCATCGACATAGACATTTATTATAGTTGAGACAATTTTTTGTATTTCAAAAATATAATTTCATCTGTTTGCTGGAGTCATTTAAAAGTAGATAATTTCATTCGAATGTTAAACAAACCGAGCTTGGCGTCAAATATTCGGAATTCTGGGAATTCCATTTCGAGATGTAACATCATGCTGTTGTCATTTTACATGTAGTCTCACTTATCTTTCAGCGAGAAATTGCAGATGATTAGACAAAGGTTGAAACAGTACCGTTGTTAATCGAACATGTCACTCAAAAAATAAAAAATGGATGGTGCCTGGATCTATCCGTCCCAGTCTGCTATACGAGGAAAATAACGTAATAACAACATGTCAATAGCACTTAGATTTAGTTCCATGTAATTGCTTAAATGACCATTTATTTATCTTTAAGTTTTTTTTCTTTAGTTTTGTTTGGTCACATTTTAAAACCACAGTAGAAAAGAGATTATAAAAGTAGGGAAATAAATCTATCCCTGTTTATGAATATGTTCAGTATGAAAACAGTACAGCAAAATTGCGATTTTACACTTTTTTCGAACTAATTCCACTCTATGCTAATCTATGCTCTTTGGTTATAACACCAAATTGTTGAGAAGAAATCTCTAGTTTAAAACTTCTAATGATTAATGTTTCAAATATTATAGGTAGACAATTGCTTGAGGGCAGTAGGTTTGGTTGGTTAGGATGAAAAGGAAGAGGGTGGGTGAGGGGGGGGGGGGAGGTTGATGACTTCACAAATCACCAATATGGCGTCGCGTAATGAAAGGAGAATAGGAGAGGTTTTTATATATGTCTTCTTGGAAACTAAGCAAACGAATTGAGCATTCGCCACAAACTTTGATTTTCTATATCTTAAAAACCCAATAAAGTATTTTAAACTATGAATTCTGTTAGATCAAATAATATAAGCTTGAACTATCAAAGGCTTACACCATCAGGTTTCAACGATATAGGAATGAAAAAAGTGGTCAATACTCAATATCTTTATTAAGCTATTATTGACAAAATTGAATAAAATTTTTAAGATTGTTTTAAGTTTTATGTCAAACGCGTATAATTTTACCGTTCAAAGGGAAAATAACTTTGTTTCTTTGTTCTTTCAGGTGATTGTACTTTTTCAACGTTGTTTTTATCAAGGTTGCTTGTTTTAATAATAAATATAATAATCAAGACTATAAACCCAATTATTATGTTCATTAGCAGGGTGTTGGATGGATATCAAAAATTGCTAAAAAATTATAACAATAATATATTATATATTTTATGTATTTTGATGAAATATAAACATAAAGTGATATAAGTAAATTAATCTTTGTGACAGAAACAATCTCAAGAACTGACGAAGGTCAACCCAGACCGAAATATATTTTCAATAAATGTGGAACTAACATCTGCTTTTTTTACCCTACAGAGGTTTGGTCCATCACTATCACCAAATTTAAAAGGTTGTATACATGTTTTTGGAACACCAATGATCATTAAGAAATCGATATGTAAAGTTTGTTTTGTGCTTGGGACTCAATTCTTTCAAGCGAGGGGGCATTTTTTACTAAATGAGCTAAGTGGCTAACAGTTCCAAACAATCTAGAATGTTTTTTATATTAATTCTGAATAAAACTACATCTCCTTAAATCTTGTTTCAATAAAAAATGTGAATCGAATTCTCAACGAAAAACTAATTTATTAGCAAAGCTAAAATCTCATTTTTGAACTGATCTAGATTATTTTGGTTTATTCAAAAGTTGAATTCAACTTCATACTTCTTTTCGGAACGGCTCTTTTCTGTATTTAATACATTTTTACATGTTTTATACATTTTTGACCAACACTTTCGATACGTAAGTATGTACTATTTATCATGTAAAATTCACAAAGCATGTTGTATAGAGAGAAATATTAGCGGTATAATTTGCAATCTAGGAGTCATGCAGAACATTTTCCTCAGGCAGTTTCAGCAAAAAGATATTTGCAATCTTTCAACAATCAAACTAAAATTACTATCACAAACTAGTGCAAACCAGATCTTACTCATTTCATGAGTTTGCTGAACAGATTCCATGATTGTTCTTTGTTTATGATAAAACCGGTTCATCCAATGTTTGTAATGTATTGTAAACGTTTTTGCAGTATTTTTAAATAAGGAATTACTGGTAGGACTTTACGACCTTGTCCCTACTTTTGCTTTTAATTCTGGCTGAAAGTTAATTTTTTGTTTGCATGTAAGAACCTATGTTTTTAATAGACAGAGCTATTCAGAAAGCAAAACTGTGTTCAAAACGACTTACTGTTTTTTTCTGTGTTAAAATAGCAAAATATGAATATTGGTTTATACCTTACAAAAAGCAAAACATCCCCAGCAGCATTGACATGCTTATCATTCATGGCAATGTTCTTGTATCCGATAGATTGAAGTTTCTCCTTAGGTTCCAACTTCAGGGACACCCTGTACAAAAAAAGTTTTTAGATCTGTAAAATTTGTAAAATAAAGGGTTGGAATCGTAATTGGTTTAACTCTTAACAACGATATATTTACTTAAGATTATGTATCTAATTACTTTTAATTATGAAAAATAGATAAAAAATATGAATTTTGTTTCTTTAAGTTTTAATAGACAGAGAGAGATTTGAGCCTTATCAGTGAGAGTAAACAATGCATAAGTATTCTTTTATAACATATCTTATTCAATATCATATTACAATGATAACTTTTTCGAGCTTGAACATTTTAAAATTTTTAAGTAAAATTTGAAATTAAATCTGAATGATTTAATCAATGATCTTTACATTTTTAATTTTATGTACACCCTCCCTAGATCTCATTGTCATTTATGTACACCCTCCCTTGATCTCATTGTCATTTATGTTCACCCTCCCTCGATCTCATTGTTTTTTTATGTACACCCTCCCTAGATCTCATTGTCATTTATGTACACCCTCCCTCGATCTCATTGTTTTTTATGTACACCCTCCCTAGATCTCATTGTCATTTATGTACACCCTCCCTAGATCTCATTGTCATTTATGTACACCCTCCCTCGATCTCATCGTTTTTTATGTACACCCTTCCTAGATCTCATTGTCATTTTTTAGTTTTGAATAAATTGCTGATACTGCATCCAACTATCAATTTATACATATTTCCAACATTTTTCTAATTCTTAGTAATAATTTGGTTCCAGGAAATACTTTTTCAGATCAACAAATTGCTTCTTTTTTACAAGAAATTGTTTCTAGTTCGTATTTGAGTTGAGTCATGATAAATCTAGATTATTCCAGATCTATCTAGAGAACAAACTCTTTCCTGAAGAAAGCACAAAAACGTGCGCACCACCTTGTGAGTAAAAATGTAACTAAATATTTGACCTGTCTGGGGGCCCCATCTCTGCCTCCTCAGTGTGTCTGTTGAGAATTCCAAATTTATATTTAACCGCTATCTCCTGGTTTTTCTCAGCCTAAACATTAGCATTTGTTATTCTGTAATATATAAAAAAACAAAAAAAAAACATTCTTTTCGTTTTTTTCTTCGTCGTTTTTAAAACGAAACAAGCGTTTTCAGAAAAGTAAAAAAAGGATCCATCCCTAGATATATCTAGCAATCAAAATAAACATAATAATTTTTTGTTCTTCAAAATTTGGGGCCGAAAAAGACAAAAAAACAATTTTTTAGATAACAACGTTTGATAATAAATCTTTTTAAAGTGAAAATAAAAAGTGATCCCGCGGTGAGGGGTTTAACTCGCCTCACAGAGAGCGTCCATGTTGTTTGAACTCCGTTAACGTTAATATCAAAAGGTTTAGAATCCAGTCCCTCCGTCTTACAGCTCTTTACCTGAACAAAACACTGCGGCTAGAACATTATTTAAAAGCAATTGAGTTTTGGCCACAAACTCTGAGTTTTATCTCTGCAATCTGATTTTGTAGACCTTGGACGTTTCGAACTATGAAATCTGTCAGATTAAGTATTCTAAGTTTGAAAATATCAAAAGTTTACGCCATCAGGTTACAAAGAGATTAGAAAATTCAAGTTTGTGGCAAAAACTCAATTCATTTGAAGGATTTAAAGGGATGTTTGAAATTTTTATGGACTTATCTTTAGTTTAAAATATGTTAGAATGCAGAGGGAAAAGCTGATAAAACCATCCGTTCATCTTTGTTTGAGTTGAGAATGGATTAATTTGCTTAAAACAAATTTTTTTTGATAAGAAGAACAAGATGCATCCTCTTAAAATAAAGATTAAAACATGCAAAGTATAAGCTTACTAATTTTGAAAAATGTAATAATCCTTTTCATAATATGCATTTTTAACATATTTAGATATCTATTTATATAACTTTTTATTCACCTGATGAACAAAGCTTTGTATTGGCCAGGTATACTTGAACTCAACATCAGATGTAGCAGGAGCAACGATCTCTAGACTAGAGCCAGGGTTCTCTAGTTCATTCCCACCCTTCCATCCTAGAATATATATATATATTTCATTCCCACCCTTCCATCCTAGAATATATATAGTTCATTCCCACCCTTCCATCCTAGAATGTATATAGTTCATTCCCACCCTTCCATCCTAGAATATATAGTCCATTTCCATCCTTCCATCCTAGAATATATATAGTTCATTCCTACCCTTCCATCCTAGAATAATTAAAGTTCATTCCCACCCTTCCATCCTAGAATAAATATAGTTCATTCCCACCCTTCCATCCTAGTATAAATATAGTTCATTCCCACCCTTCCATCCTAGAATAAATATAGCTCATTCCCACCCTTCCATCCTAGTATAAATATAGTTCATACCCACCCTTCCATCCTAGAATAACCATTGTTCATTCCTACCCTTCCATCCTAGAATAAATATAGCTCATTCCCACCCTTCCATCCTAGTATAAATATAGTTCATTCCCACCCTTCCATCCTAGAATAAACATTGTTCATTCCTACCCTTCCATCCTAGAAAAAATATAGCTCATTCCCACCCTTCCATCCTAGTATAAATATAGTTCATTCCCACCCTTCCATCCTAGAATAAATATAGCTCATTCCCACCCTTCCATCCTAGAATAAATATAGTTCATTCCCACCCTTCCATCCTAGTATAAATATAGTTCATTCCCACATTTCCTACCTTACATTAGTTAGTTTAATACATGTTTTTCCTTCTTAATAATATATCAATAGAATTACTGTACAGCCTAGTGTCTACCCACTTCCCTATTTTTAGCAAATTTTCCTGGTTTATTATTTCTATATTTTCCTGGTTTCTTATTTCTTTATTTTCCTCGTTTCTTATTCCTATATTTTCCTGGTTTCTTATTTCTATATTTTCCTGGTTTCTTATTTCTATATTTTCCTGGTTTCTTATTTCTATATTTTCATGGTTTCTTATTCCTATATTTTCCTGGTTTCTTATTTCAATATTTTCCTCGTTTCTTATTTCTATATTTTCCTGGTTTCTTATTTCTTTATTTTCCTGGATTTCTTTATTTCCTGGATTTCTTTATTTTCCTGGATTCTTATTTCTTTAATTTCCTGGTCTATTATTTTTATATTTTCCTGGTTTATTATTTCAATATTTTCCTGGTTTCTTATTTCTATAGTTTTCTGGTTTAAATTATTTTTTAATTTCCTGCTTTATTTTTTCTATATTTTCCTGGTTTCTTGCAGTAAGTGACTAATTACTCTATTTATCTACATATCTATCTATCTATCTATCTATCTATCTATCTATCTATCTATCTATCTATCTATCTATCTATCTATCTATCTATCTATATATCTATCTATCTATCTATCTATCTATCCATCTATCCATCTATCCATCTACCCATCTATCTATCTATCTATCTATCTATCTATCTATCTATCTATCTATCTATCTATCTATCTATCTATCTATCTCTCTATCTCTCTATTTCTGTCCATATTATGCCTAAGTATTTATCTCAGGTAGAGCTGAGGGCTAAATCACAGGTTCAAATAAGAGGAAAATAATATTTTAGTTAATGTTAGAGATAGATAGATAGATAGATATAGATAGATAGATAGATATAGATAGATAGATATAGATAGATAGATAGACATTTCAAACTTTGATTATTGATATAACAATTCATAGTTTGAAATATATATGGTCTGCGAGATTGGGTTACAGAGATATGATTAAAGATCAGAGTTTGGGACACAGACTCAACTCCTTTCCAATCTGATAAAAGAATATATATATCCCTCTAGCCTCCCCTCCTCCCCCTCCTTCTTCTCTTTCCTGTTTTGTGGTTGAAGAACACGTTTATCAGTATAGAACAGTACGACAGGATGTCCATATATGGGCACAAATGCTTACATAACCTTTTTTTTCCAGGTCATGCAGCTATGGCCCATCTCTAGACCCATTCTTTACATTCAGGTTTCCTGGAAGTTGTATATCTATATATATCTCATGACTAGCTTTCTTGGAGATTTTCATGTGGCCGGGGGGGAGAGTTTTCTATCACACATTGCATCTAATACACCTAGTATTCTGGTACATGTTGATGTCACACCCTGTCGTCTGGTAAAAAAATAGTATTTGGTCAAATTTTGTATTCTGGTATACAATGTTGACTATTATTCTACGTTTTCTGGTAAACCATTTTAATATACAAGGTGTCCCAATAAACATTGGAATTAATTAAACAAATTTGCAATCGGCTTTGTTAGAGTTATTCTCTGTCGTATTCTATTAAATCATGTTTTTCTGTTTTCTAAATCTTGTGATCCTGTATTTTCTGGAAACTTTTATTGTAAACTTAATTCTAGATTATTCTAATTCTCTTTACCTGGTAAACCATGTTTTTCGATAAACCCTTTTTTCTGTTACACTCTGCTTGTATTGCGTGAACTGTATATTTACTGTATCCCAAGGTTTAGCTAGTCTAAATTAACGGTTCAGAATCTAGTAGAATAAACACAAAGGAATATTATTCTGCTCTAGGTTATTTGTAGAATCTAGAATCTACCAGATCCTTTATCTACACTTTTTATTCTAAATATAAAATACAGGGTGTCCCAATAAACATGGGGATTCAGTGACGAACTCGATGTCGTCTTTTTAAATAATTCTTTAATTTGGTATAGTGATACCTACTGAGAAAGCTGTAATCTGTAAGAGTTTCGTCTCCTATGTTAACATTTTGTTTGTTTATGTTTTGACTGCATACGGTTGTACTTAGTAAAAACAAGAACATTGCAGTATACAAACAGAGTAAACTTGTCCTTCTTCACTGTTCATCTTGAGAAGACATTATAGACACATCTTTGCAGTCTTTTACCCTTTTCATAAAATAAACTATCTATCTATCTATCTATCAATCTATCTATCTATCTATCTATCTATCATGAATATTTTTATATATCTTCATTTTTCATTAGATCGCATATATAAAGGAATTTCCTTAGTCAACATTTTCTAAGGTTTGCAAGATTTGCAAAAATTAATTTCAAGCGTTGATGTGTTAGTTATTTAGAATAATTAAATATTAATTAATAAAATGCTAAAAATAAAGTTCGGAACACCCGGCAGGGCCAAATTCAGTTTTAATTCCGTCTTTAAAGCATTGACGCAATTACTTTTGACGCAACTCTAACTCTGCGTAAGAACTGAATTGTTTAATAAACATTGCATTTTGAAGATTCAACTCTGATGTCACTTTGGTCTGATTCAGAAACTCCGAATTACGAATGGAATTGGAAACACTATTTAATGTGTAGTGTCAATTCTATTTGAAGAAAAGAGAGAGAAAAACTTTTACAGATTCTTTGCGGTATTTTTGGCAATATTTTGATGTTTTCTTCAATTAGTATGACGTTGGTAAATAAGTGATAAATGAATCCAAAGGTTGGATAATGATTAAGCAAAGGGTAAGAAAATGTGGTTTAGCTTGTAAGGGGTAAAAATTACGGGACCCTCCCGGGTTCAAAGATATTCTCTGAAACTAAGGCTCCGATACTTGGGTGTCAGCTGAACTGCCTCGAAATCCAGTTCAATCCAGATATTACCCTTGGATAGATAGATAGTTAGATAGATTGATAGATAGATAGATACTAGGGGATAGTACATATACTGAATGGTACGGGATTTCCAAAGGGGATTCCCTAAATCTTAGTGAGTCAAGGTTATAATCTTTTACGTAATATTTAATCCAAAACCTTTTATTTGAAGCGATTAAGTACTTTCCGAAAACTCTCATTTTTGCTCTTCTCCGATGACCGACAGCAAATTTTTTGTCGCCTCTGATTGGTCGGACCAGTGAAGAATTTTTTAAAGACTTGACTTAATCCGTTGGAATAGATTTAGATTAGCGCTTTCTGAAAACAGAATTAACAATTCAACAGTTCTAATCTCTGATCTGTTTGCAAAACTTGGAAATGTATAAAAAAACGCTACATTAATCTTTTTTATTTTAAAATGATAATCCATTACCCATTAACCATTACAGCATGACCATTACAGAATACAGATCATTAAATGTATTTTGCACTATTTTCTTGAAGAAGCAAGTATATATAAAAAAGTGAAAAGTTAAAAAATCAATTTACCCTTGAGCTAAATATGTTTTAACATCACAGGCAAACTGAGTGCAAATATTATGCAAAATGCATGAAATGATAAGCATTTAAAAAAAGTTCATATTCTAGAGTTCTTAGAATAAAAAATACCAAAACGAAAAGTACTATGAAGACAATCTGCCTTAATAGCACTGTAATCACATAATCATGAAAATTTTTTCAACGAATTTGAAAAAATCTTTTCTTTGGATTCTTTGATTTTTTATAACGATTGAATCAAAGGTGACTTTGATTACATCATTTGAATGTTAGTTCGCATTTGCAAAATATTTACGCGGAAAAGATTGCACAGTTTCAAGTCGTCGAGATAAACTAAATAATTTCCCTCCTATATATCTATTTCTGTTAGATAAAGATACAAGAATATTTAATCTTCTATTTCTACCACTTTAAATATAAACTGATTTAAATCTATCCAATTATAAATATTTTTCTTCTCCTCAAAATTAGATTTTCTCCTTTAGGATTATAAATTTATCTATTCTTCTCCTATTAGTTTATTTGGTTTTATTATCTAATAGTTCTTTTCTAAGTTTTTTCTTCTCTCTTAGTTTCCTATTTCTCCTGCGATTCACCTTTTTCTCCTATTTTGCAATTTCTTCTTATTTTTTTCTAGGCTATATAGTTTTTATTTAGTCACCTTTATTTCTAGTAAACTTTTCCATCGTTCTTCTTTTTTTTATGTCCTTTTTTCTACCCTTTTTCTTCTTCTAGTTACCTTTTTTCTTCTTCTAGTTACTTTTTTTCTATGTCTAGTTACCCCTTTTCTTCTTCTTTTTACTTTTTTTTATGTCTAGTTACCCCTTTTCTTTTTCTAGTTACTTTTTTCTATGTCTTGTTACCCCTTTTCTTCTTCTAGTTACTTTGTTCTATGTCTTGTTACCCCTTTTTTTCTTCTATTTACTTTTTCTATGTCTAAATACCCCTTTTCTTCTTCTATTTACTTTTTCTATGTCTAAATACCCTTCTTCTATTTACTTTTTCTATTTCTAGTTACCCCTTTTGTTCTTCTGTTTATCTTTTTTTCTATGTCTAGTTACCTCTTTTGTTCTTCTATTTTCATTTTTTCTATGTCTAGTTACCCTTTTTACCAAATTACCTCCGAATTTTTTATGTTGTGTTGATGAAACATTTTTCTTCTTATTATTGAGATCCCAGGATCCAGCTGACCCTGACCTCGGCCTCTTCTTGGTTCTCAGAGGCCACGAGAAATTCTTCAATATGGAACTTCCTGAAAAATTGAGATTTTTAGATTAAGAATATTTTTATTTCTAATTTATTTCCTTGTAAAACAATCTTCAGATTCTGAAATTCATTAGTTTGAAACCGCAAAGTAATAAAAAACTATGTCCAGTGGCCTAATGCCTCATATATACACATAACACATTAAACAATACATTCAGTACACTCAGACATAGTTCAAATAATACAGAGAAATGTTACGAATATATAATTTAAAACTGAAAAAAATTATAATCACGCAAAAACTAAATTTGAGTAACTTTAGGATAAACACAATTTTTAGATTTTTTTTATACTTTTACACGACTGCAGTCCCCCCTCTCCCCTCTCTTCGCCTAATAAATACGTTCATCCTCCCCTCTCTCCCTGCTTTTTCTATTTTATCTGTAGGGACCAGCATAAATGTGGTTTTAACCTGACCCGGGTTTTCTAGGAAAATTATGCTCGTAAAACATCGGGATTAGGTCCAATGATATCAATGTGAGAGGATAAAGAACACATAGTATGATTTATATGCAAGTTGTCCTACCAAATTTATCCTAATAAATGAGTCTCCTTGTTTTTATTTATCCTAATAAATGAGTCTACTTGTTTTTATCTATCTTATTAATGAGTCTCCTTATTTTTATCTATCCTAATAAATGAGTCTACTTGTTTTTATCTATCTTAATAAATGAGTCTCCCTGTTTTTATTTATCCTAATGAATGGGTCTCCTTGTTTTTATTTATCCTAATAAATGAGTCTACTTGTTTTTATCTATCTTAATAAATGAGTCTACTTGTTTTTATCTATCCTAATAAATGAGTCTCTTTATTTTTATCTATCCTAATAAATGAGTCTACTTGTTTCTATCCTAATAAATGAGTCTCCTTGTTTTTATTTATCCTAATAAATGAGTCTACTTGTTTTTATCTATCCTAATAAATGAGTCTCCTTGTTTCTATTTATCCTATTAAATGAGTCTCCTTGTTTCTATTTATCCTAATAAATGAGTCTCCTTGTTTCTATCTATTCTAATAAATGAGTCTCCTTGTTTCTATTTATCCTATCAAATGAGTCTCCTTGTTTCTATCTATCCTAATAAATGAGTCTTCTTGTTTTCCTGGTTTGTACTTTGTCTGCTCCTGGTTGGATAAAGAGCCGGCAAGCAAGCATAATTCTAACTCTACTGCACTGGGGGGAGACTAAAGTACAAAGCTCTAAGCTCTCTTTTCTACACAACTACCCACAATCGCTATAAATGGGGAAAAATAAATTTTAAAGAATCCACATTTTTCTATACTTTTATAGAAACAATCTGACAAATATGCTATATGCTAATATACCATCACCGAATTTTAAATATAGAAATAATGGTCACACATAATTGGTATTTTAAACATTGACACTTTTTATTCATAAGAAGTCATAGTTCGATATATTAAAGGTCTAAGCCATCTGGTTGCAAATGAATAAATATTAGAAAATTAAAGTGTACTATAATTCAACTTGACATTTATTCTATGCAAGCTTCTAAATCAACAAAATGTTTAAGTTATTTATTAATAATAAACCATCTACCTGCCGTCATTTTGGATAGTTGGTATTTGTTAGAAGTTGGACTTTGTTCTCTTCTTCTTTCTTCTCCTCTTTTATAATCTTCAAGATCTAGACCTCCATACACCCTGAAACAATTTATTAGTTTGATTTCTATCAATTATGAGATTTAAACAGAAAAAAACTTGCAAACACAAAATAAACTGGGTGCTTGTCACAAACTATGATTTTCGAATCCCTATATATTCAAAACTATGAATTATGTTATATTCAATAATCTAATTTTGAAGTATTAAAGATTTACACTTACACATTTACATTTAAAGATTTAGTTTCAGTTTACAGTTGAAAGATGATAAATCTGACATCTACAATATTTAAGGATAAAAAAGGAAGGAAAGAAAAAAAATTGTTTTTACATATAAGAATAAATTGATATTTTTCTCTTTTTTAAGCGTTTGAGAAGAGAAAAAAAAGATTTTTTAAAATCTGAAATAATGCTCACCCTAAGGACTCTAGACTGTCTGTAATCCTCTCAATGATGTTTCTCTTGTTAAATCCGATTATTCTTAAACCAGGCTGAGGGAAGAAAAGACCTTTCTTTTCCGAAGTTAATTAATAAATAAATAAATATCTATATATCCTAGTCAACACTTTAGCACTGTGCACTGAGCACTGGCTACCGGAGAACTAGAACAGTTCTCTGCAAAGCTCAAACTCCATGCACTCACTGACTGACACCGATACATACATATGCAAAATACGCGCTGTGCGCGGCGCGGCGGCGCTTTGCCGCGCTGATTCTCCGGTAGCGTTGAGCGGAGGAGAGAGCTGACTACTGGGGGGTTGAACAGCTGATAGATAGATAGATATATGGAGGCTATACTCCGGAGGATATGGCTAAGAGTGAACTACACACTGTATACAAGATAGAGAGACAAATAATGTATTCATCTTCATTTCCCGATGATCTAATCTATTTGTTTAAAGTAAATCAAAGTTTTAATAGAAAAACTTAATGCAAGGAATAATAAACCCTTCAGTATCATTTGGGTCGGTTTCGATCCAAGAAATTAATCTCAACATTTTTCAAACTCCTGTAGTGTGAATTTTGATTTTTAAATCAAATCTTGAGAATGGAGACACAGCGACAATGAGGATCTAAAATAATTAAGGCGGAAAGAAGCTTTTTAAAAATATCCGTTTTATTTTCTAACTTTTAAAGGAATTGAGTTTTTGACACAAACTCAAATTTTCTTATCCCTATATCTATAAAACCTAATTGTTTAAACCTTTGATATTTCAAAATTAGATTATTTGATCTAACAGTTTTAATAGTTTGAAATATCTAAGGTCTACGACATAGGGATGTAAAGATATAGGGATTGTGAAATCATAGTTTGTGGCAAAGACTCAATTCCTTTATTCCTTGTAATTGTATCTCATACATCTCTATTTTGAGTGCAAAGTGCTGTAAATCCTGGGATCAAGCATGCATTAATCTGTGTAGTAAATCCTGGGATCAAGCATGCATTGATCTGTGTTGTAAATCCTGGGATCAATCATGCATTGATCTGTATTGTAGATCCTGGGATCAAGCTTGCATTTATCTGTGTTGTAAATCCTGGGATCAAGCATGCATTGATCTGTGTTGTAAATCCTGTGATCATGCATGCATTGATCTGTGTTGTAAATCCCGGGATCAAGTATGCATTGATCTGTGTTGTAAATCCTGGGATCAAGCATGCATTAATCTGTGTTGTAAATCCTGGGATCAAGCATGCATTGATCTTTGTTGTAGATCCTGGGATCAAGCATGCATTTATCTGTGTTGTAAATCCTGGGATCAAGCATGCATTGATCTGTGTTGTAAATCCCGGGATCAAGTATGCATTGTTCTCTGTTGTAAATCCTGGGATCAAGCATGCATTAATCTGTGTTGTAAATCCTGGGATCAAGCATGCATTGATCTGTGTTGTTAATCCTGGGATCAAGTGACTTTCCAATTTTAGACTGGCTTGTTCGATTCACACCAGTATCTTTAAAATCTTTTGTCTGATTAAGAATGAAAAAGTGTTTTTTCATTGACTATGTAAAGGTTTTTTCATTGAGTATATAATGGTTTTTTCATTGACTATATAAAGGTTCTTTTCATTGACTATACAAAGGTTTTTTCATTGACTATATAAAGGTTTTTTCATTGACTATATAAAGGTTTTTTCACTGACTATATAAAGATTTTTTCATTGACTATATAATGGTTTTTTCATTGACTATATAAAGTTTTTTTCATTGACTATATAAAGGTTTTTTCACTGACTATATAAAGATTTTTTCATTGACTATATAATGGGTTTTTCATTGACTATATAAAGTTTTTTTCATTGACTATTTAATTGTTTTTTTTTCATTGACTATATAAAGGTTTTTTTTCATTGACTATATAAAGTTTTTTTTCATTGACTATATAAAGTTTTTTTTCATTGACTATATAAAGGTTTTTTCATTGACTATATAAAGTTTTTTTCACTGACTATATAAAGATTTTTTCACTGACTATATAATGGTTTTTTTCATTGACTATATAAAGTTTTTTTTCATTGACTATATAAAGTTTTTTTTCATTGACTATATAAAGGTTTATTTCATTGACTATATAAAGGTTTTTTCATTGACTATATAAAGGTTTTTTCATTGACTATATAACGGTTTTTTCATTGACTATAAAAAGGTTTTATGGAAACCGTGGTGAATCAGGCATGTTTATTTTTCTAAATTGGAAGTTCATTTGAATGAAATTGCAATGGTTAAAAATATAAAAGATTACTATAGTTGTTTTCACTTTTTACAGGAAAAGCTTTTCATTTAATTCGTAAACAATAATTGTTTCACAAAGATGTTAAATTTGATTACATTCATATTATAACTCTGTGAAGGTCAAACTGAATTATAAACATTTAGGACTTGTTGACAAAATCTGTAATTCTACGCATCTATTTGAATATTTTGATTTTGATTATGGCGCCTTCTCCATCTAAATATACAAAACACGTGAGATATGAAAATACGCGGATTCATGTTTCTGAATCAAATAAACAAATCTTAAATAATCTTTACATTTTCCTGTTACCGATGAGGATAAAAATGTGCATTTTTTTGGCAACTTTAACATCCTAATCAACAAAGAGATCAAACAATATATATAAGACCGTTTCCTGCCCATCTAAAAACATACATACCTAGAATTGAAGTGAATACCGTACTTTTAAATTTCGTCCAGAACTGTATCAGTCCAGGTACAACTCATCAGCTATAAATGTTAACCAGGACACAAACTCTTCAGCAATTAATAATGCCAAACCAATGGACAAAATCGTATCGGCTCTGAATGTGATCGATTCACAACGTTACTCTGTAAACCTCTGTCCGAGCAAATATAATGAAAATATTCTGGTTTTTGTGTCAGAAAACAGATAATAAATATAAAGCTCGGGTTCCAAAAAATAATTTACATTTTGTGGATTTTGCTACTGAGAAGAAAAAATAGTTGAAAAATGTTTGTAAAGGGCCAATTTAATTTCTAATTCAATGTCCAGTACAGAGAAAGAAAACAAATCCTGATGTTTTTTGAGTGAAAATATTCAATAAGATGGCAATGAAATGATGCAACAAATAATTGATAATTAAGGCATGGCATTTTCAAATCAAGTTTTAAGTTTCTTAGAATCCATTTTCATGAACTTTACCTAGAAAAAAATGCTTCACCTTTAAACATTTTCCAACTGAACAGTGGAAAATTACAAACTACAATATTACATTTTGAAAATAAAACCCATAATTACAAACCGAGCTGTAGTATAGAATATTGTTGCATTATACTCGTAAACGTGATACTGATCAATGAAATAGCATTAGTTTTAACGTGATACTAATCAATGAAATAGCATTAGTTTTAACGTGATACTGATCAATGATATCGCATTAGTTTTAACGTAAAAACTGATCAATGATATCGCATTAGTTTAAAGTGATACTGATCAATGATATCGTGTTAGTTTAACGTGAAACTGATCAATGATATCACATTAGTTTAATATGATACTGATCAGTGATCAATTATATTGTATTAGTTTTTAATCGTGACTGGTGATATCACATTAGTTTAACGTGAAACAGATCAATGATATTTTATAAGTTCACTTGGTCCAAGGGCGTATACAGAAATAAGGGGGGGGGGGCAAAATATGCGCGTAGCGAAATTGGTTTGCCCCCCAAATTTGAAAATTTGAATTGTAAATTTAAAACATTTGGCTTCTTAAACATCAGGCATGTTTTTTGAGGGTGGCGGGGGCTCCACTCAAATCCCCAATTCTTAACAGCAAACTAATCTTTTAAAGTTCTTCGCCACTCAGTTTGTCCCCCCCCCTGTATACGCCCTTGCCTGGCACTGATCAATTATATTACTTTTATAGTTTTACATGACCATGGTGATCTATGATATCGTATTAGTTTAACGTGACCAGTGATCTATGATATCGTATTATAGTTTAACGTGACCAGTGATCTATGATATCGTATTAGTTTAACGTGACCAGTGATCTATGATATTGTATTAGTTTAACATGACCAGTGATCTATGATATCGTATTAGTTTAACGTGACACAAGGAGTACTCAATGCAACAGCAGATCACTGATCAACGAAATTATATTCCCGAAACATTTTAAATAAACTTGAAACACTTTAAAAGATTATGTCAGTTCTACCGAAGTTAAAAGATAGGTCTTGAGCCCGAACTTTTAACAGAAATGAAACTTTGTAAAATAAAGGGAAATTTTATTTTTTTTACAGAAGAAGGAAAACTGCAATTTTTCAGAAGTCAGATGTTAACCTGTCTAAGTTAAAAGAGGGGTCATGAGAAAAAATTTGTTCACAGAAGTGAAATTTTAAAAAGAAAATTGAATTTTTTACATATGGAGAAAAACAACGATTTTAAGAAGTCAGAAAATAAAAGTTTTAGAAATATTTTCCAATTAAACTAAAGATTTTTAACTTTATAATTTTAATTTTAATTAACTAGTTAAACCACAGACTAGATTTGACATTTTTAGAAGCATGAAAAAAATATTCAATCAATCAAAGATGTTACATCGACGCTAAACATAAAATTTGTTTTCTTTAAATGTTACACAATAAAATTCAAGATTGTGCATTTATTCAAAATCGCGTAATCGGACAATCACACTAATATCATTGAATAGATTACATTAAAGTTTTGAATTATTTTTGTTTGTTATTTAAGCAACTAGAAATATTCCGATTCTTAATGCAATGGTAAATTCAACTTGCCAGTTGCTTTGATTCTGTTTTATTTAATAAATTATTCAATAAGTAGGATTTACAAAGCGCCACTTCTGGACCCACAACCATGGCGCCACTTTTGCGCCACCACCTGATGGCCGAAAATGGCAACTAATTATTGCTTAATTTTGAATAAATTTGTGTGCTTAACAAATCTTAAAATATTTTAATCAAAATTAGTGCTGTGATCGCACTATTAAAAAAACATTAAAAATAAACGTTTTTAAACTGCGAATAATTCAATATCAATGATTAGTGTTTTCAAAAGTTTTGATCAGTAAACATTTTTTTATTGGATTCATTTGAAAAATTTAAGGTGCATTGAAATCCTCGTATCATTCTGAATTAAATAGATTGATATGTATTTTTCTGAAAATAATAATAATTGTTTTTGAAATAAAAAATAACGAGATTTCAAAATTTCTAAATAATTGAAATAAAGTTTTTTCTTTCTATCTATACATTTCACCTGTTTGTTTCTTACAGTTCATATAATTAGCTAGACAAATCAGGCTCAATTTTTTTAAAAACTCGTCTAACTCTTGCTGGCCGGTTGAAATAGAACAATTTCACTCAGACAAAGTATTTGTTGTTTTTAGAAATCCATTAATGCTATTAATGAGAAAAGAAAGTTCCGAGAAGTTTTTTTTTGGAACTTTAAAATTGTAACTGGAAAAACTCTTTAGTGTTTAAGGCATTTTTTTGCGAGCATCTCAAAGAAATCTCTTATATTTTCAAACAAAGGAAAGTAAGTTAAGACTATGTTGTGCATTAGGACGGAT